GTGATTGTGTTTACGTTGGTCAGACATCGCGCGCACTAAAAGCACGCGTGAAAGAACACACAAAGGCCATAGCAACATTGGATGAAAACTCTTTGTTGGCCAAACACCATATGCTTCACAGGCACCAAATAGATTTGGAGAGTGTTGAAATTGTTGACAGATCATCGGTGTGGTGACAAAGTCTAATTCTTGAAGCTTGGCATTCCATGCGAGATAGAAATGTTATAAACGAACACATAACGTTACCAAACATGTATAATAACATTAAGAATTTTTAGAGCCATTAAAAATACTCTAGAGACTATTGTTACACTTAGAAAATTCCTTCGAGATTTAGTTTTATCACACATCATGAACATAGATACCAAGCAGAACGCCGTTAGACATTCGCATTTTTATCTTTGCTGAAGAAGGTAACAGTAGCAACCGAAACGTCCAGAACAATGTATTTTTTAGCCAGTGTCAACTTTTTTTATTCTTTTTACCAGAATTTTTAATATGCCTGGCTACACACCGAATATTTTTACATCACTTTTGTACCACGCATAGAGGAAAGTTATTTTTACATTCCCTGACCATGCCGTAGATCGGCGAAAGCTTGGAAAAAAAAGAGAAAGACATTAGCTCAAGGCCTTAACTGAATCATCCATTTAAACAACATGCTACTAAAGATCAACTTCAAACGTTTAAAGGTACAAATGTTCATTTTATTTTTTTTTTGTCAACAGGATTTCTGTACATGCCAAACAAAGACAGATCCATAAAAACTTTGTAGATTTAAGGGACAAAGGACCTTGTGTTGTTCAGTTTGCAGACACTCCCCATGTCACAAGAAAGTTAATTTTAGAAGTACTTGCACACAGCTGTGTGACTCTTTGTCCACAGTTTCATTCCCTGAGCTGTTTTGTTCAGTGCGATGACAACTACAGCTTTTTTTTCGGAGATGCGGTATGTTGCGTTCATTTGTGGTCGAAATTCTCCATTCCAAAAATAAGCAGTGCGTTCCTCTCTCTGTTTTCGTGCAGCTTCATCAACAAAGGACTGCAAGCAATTATCAGTTTAGTTTTTTTTTTCGGAGAGACGGTATTTTGCGTTCATTTGTGTTCACGAAAGGTCATTAACCAAGTGGAATAATGCATAAATACCAAAAATTTCAACACGTATATTTTCTATACCTCGCCCAGCAAACAGAGAGCGATTGAGATACATGAAAGAAGAGTTTTATGTTCAATTGTAAAGTTACTAAATTGAAAATATGCTACATGTTTTTTTTTTTTTTACTTTCGAACTAATCATTTGCTTCCAGTCTCAACAACGCATTAATTTTATCGTTGCGATCGAGAAGGTAATATGAAATTAGTTTGAGTCAATTAAATTTTTTTAGCATGGCCAAATGTACAAGAACAGATGGCTTGTCCGAGATTCTAAGGCATGGTAATAAGTCATAAAGATTGTCAGATTTTATTGCGAGTTTGGCCAAAGAGCTTATTAACTTTTGTGGATTTGTGTGCATCGTAAAAATGACGAACATCGTTAGAGTAGGAAAATGAGGGAAAAACATAGGAAACACGATACACCGCTTCCACTTACGGTCATTTCTGGTCGTTAATGAGTCAGTATCCCGCTGAAAACAAGCTGTTTTGATCATAACTTCTTGTACTTTTTATTTCTCGGATCTTTCCCTGAAGAACGTAAGATTACACCCAGGATCACTTCTGAGCACATGGCATTTTGTCAAAGAATGAAACTAGCCAATAACAATACTGGATCAATAGAAAAACGTCATTGATATTGAACGCCCTTTTTTCTTTCTATCAACAATTTATTCTGCAGCGGGGACGAGTCATTGTTAGTCACTGAGATCCTGCAGATAACATCTCTTCGGCATTTTAAGTGATTATTTTCCTTCAACTTCAGCAACTTCTGAGAGAAGTCAAAGAGCTTTGGTAAGTTGATTTCTCATTTCACTTTTTAGCTGATTGACCAAGCAGCGAGTGCATCTGCACAAATTTGTTCTTTATGTATAGAAGGCGACTTCAGGCGAGGCACCAGCTGCATGCCATTAGAGTATATGGGACAGAGGCTGTAGACTGAACTCTAAAGACTTTCATCTCAAAAACATTTCAGTTGAGCGAAATTGATAGGGTCTTTATTCTAGAGAGATGCCCTCAAAATACAAAACGAAGAAAAGTGCTTACTTTCGGTTCGAGACGCGTTTGAACGTTTCCTTAAGCAGTCAAAACATTTCAGATGAGCGAAATCGATGGGGTCTTTATTTTAGAGAGATACCCTCAAAGTACAAAACGAAGAAGAGTGTTTACTTTCGGTTCGAGACGCGTTTGAATGTTTCCTTAAGCAGTCAAATTACTTTCTCGGAAAACGTTAACATACCAACATAATTTGTGAGGAACTTTGCGTTAAAGGTACACTTCCATCTGTTTAGTTGACGTATTTTGAGTTCCTTGTAATAATGTACAATGATCATGATTAAATAACGTGGCGTCGGTTTGGTGCAATTCGTGTTCGTAATCAAACATTTACCTCGGCACGCGTATGACCTAAAAAACTAAATTCGGTTGAGCGATACACTGCGTTGATTAGGATCGTTATCAACTTCAGTTTAACTTAAGCAGCCAAGATTGCTTCATACCGTCACTCCCTTGGTAACATTGTCTCGCATAAATTTTATTAATAGAACTGAAACTAGAAGTGTCTTAATCTTTTCATTTTGAGGGGGAAGACCACAGAAATTTTCCTCGTAAAGCAATGCACATCGCTATCGACTTCATGGCATTGGAAAAACGTTGTTCGTTTTCAAAAGGAAGTAAATAACAAATTTGCCACCGAAAAGTTTTCGATCGACGTTTTGTTGTCGGTTTGGCGGTGGTTATCTCTATGGGAGAGTCAAAACAGGTTTACCAATGGCGACCATCATCAAACAAAGTAGACGCTCTCTATGATTTTAAAAGGTGATTTTATGAAATGAATTTCGGCCTACGAAAGCGTTTTTTGTCCAGTTTAGGCAATTATAATCAGAAACATCAAAACATCTTTCGATTTGCCCTGTGAGAAGGGTTTTTACCTCTTTTCATTTCAAAATCACTTCGTAATATAAGCTCTATTTAACAGTGGTTATAGAAAATGTTTCTCACTGCAGTCACTAAAGCAAAACCTTTAGTTATTCAGGTCTTTCGGCTGAAACGTTATAGCAAGATCTACTCCGATAGTTTATCTTCTTATCTTGAGAAAACTTGTCTCTGCACTTGACGCAAATAAAACAATCGAATAAATGCTATGAACTTTGCTTTGAACCACGAGAGTATTCATAACCAAAGTTCAAGCAACAAAGTACAATCTCTAGCGAGGACAGGCTCACAGTAAGAATAAAACACAACAAACAGGAATATAAGTCACATAGCGCAAAAAAGGGCGGTACAATTTTTTAAGAATCAGATATACAGAGGGTACATCACATGCACTCAAACTACAAACCGAAGCAATACAGAAGTCAACAGTGGCGTCTTTTTCTTTGTGGCTAAGCATTTCTAAGGAGGACTTACCAATGATAGGAGACAAGAGAATTTTCTCTCCATTGCAGCGGATTATTTTATTCCAAATTTATAGCAAGTTTCTTTTTGAAGGATCTCATTTGGTTTCGTGAGGCGTCTCTGATTTGGAGGCGAAAAGACTTTCCGTTCGTTTGGAAATCGTTTTTTGCATTTTTCCAAATAGAAATTATTTTTCGAAAAATAATCTACCATAGTTAGCGCGCGATATCATTTTTAGACTGAACGAAATGGTCTATCGTGGAATCACTTCCGTTTTGATTTAAAACCTTCATTTCTTATCCAACATCAACACCTTTGCGTAAGCGGTATTTAAGTATATTCCTCGTCCATCAGTGTATCTAGTTCAAGGAGTAGGAAATGTTGCATTTGTAAACTGCTTTCGGTTGTCTGTTTTACGAGTTCGATCGCATATGGAATTTCAAGCAGTGCAAAGTAAACAGACAAAAATTTACCTTTTTGTCCACCAAAGACAGACACATAGTGCACAAGTGAACTTTGTTTTGGTTCAAAATAATCCTTATTATTATAGCTGAACTCCTGAAGGTTCTCGATGAAGATAGATATGTATGATTATCCGGTAAACTATAACCTGCTATCTTTTGAGATGTTTTTCTTATTTTCTAGAAAATCATGTGGCGACTTGAAACCAACATGACTCTAGTCTTCAAGTAATTTTGGCCTGTTTGTAATAATCCTTTCGTTAATTTTGAAATAGATTTCTCTCTTTTGCTCATTCCAGTGTGCTCTCTTTCAGTTTTTTTCTTCAATGATGTCTTCAGATTCTGTGATGGGTGACGCGTTAGGTCAGTCGATTTTTTTTTTTACCAAAATTGTTATATATTGTTATATGTCTTGAATGGCCCGCTCCTCTTTTTCCAGCTCTCTTGCGCACATAAAAGACCAAATTAATAGTTCAGTTAATTTTTAATTTAATACTTAAATTAAGGTATCGGCAGAGAAAGCAAGATGCCGCCTATATTTTCCCAGCTTTTGTAAATATCAGTAAGGTGTGTCGTAGATCGGTCAGTGATCTTTGATCCGCATCGAGGTTTTAATTGAAGTCTACATTATACTAAATGGCTAGTCTGTCTGCCTCAGCCGCCCTCAGCCCCCCCCCCCCCCCCCTTGTCGGTCGTGTTTTGCTGTACTTCGAGACGAGAAAGCTATCCGCTAAGAAATGAAAAGCAATCCCCTCCTCTACTCTCCTGCCCTGACGCTGATACTCATTTCGTTGGAAATGTGTAAGAAATCTGAATGAATTCTTATTCCTTCCAAGAAACCAGAAGAAATCCCCAGACAGCGCGGAAGGTCACATTTAATCTAAGTCTCTTTTCACCGGTGACCCATTACAAACAAGATGGATCTCTCAGCAGTTACTTGTCAAATTATTCAAAGAGTAAGAGCATCTGCAATCAGAGAAAAGGAGACAAGATGGATGGAACTCCCTTTACAAAGATGCCCTCTCTCAAACAAGAAGGATCTTTCAGCAGCGCCCTGTTCAATGAACCAATGAGTGAGATCATTCGCAATCTGGCAAAGGAATCCGAGTATATTCAGGGCATGGATAAAGGAATACTTGACCCCAACGTCTTTGGCGGATACACGGTGCAGGATGCTGCTTATTGCTTCAATGCAGTGGATCCTTACGAACGAGCTGCTGAGAAGATGCAAGAAGTTGGCAAACCAGAATTCTCTTTACTTTACAGGACTCAATCAGAGAGTTTCAAAAGCTACAACCAGTATTTTCTACAAACATGGTGGCTCCAGAATACAGACAGCGTAGCAATGGGGCCGGCTGCAGCAACGTACGTGGGATATGAACGTGCCTTGAGCCAAAACGATCCCAAGTACCTTTGTAATGCCATGTTACCATGTGCCATGCTATGGCCCTGGATTACCGACCAACTCATCGCTTCAGTCGACAAGAACCCATATCATATCTGGTTTAAAGACAACAAGCCAAGCCCGGGCCACAAAAACCACCTGTGCGGCTTGCGATCAAACCCTGTTTTACTACTCGTCCTTTAAGGGGTGACTTGTAAAAATATCTTAATGCTGTTGTTTGTGGTCGGAATCAGTGTGTCTGTGCTGCTTCAGAAGACACCTTGGAAATAGAACTAACTCGGAAATTTGTCTAACTATAAAAATTACTCCCTTTTTTATCGTATAGGAAGATGTAGTTTCATATTAGGACGGGGACGGAGGAGGGGGTGGGTACCTATACTCTTACTCCAGAACCAGCTGGCCCTTTTTCACAGGCAGTAATTCCTGATTATTTAGCATGGACTTAAACATGACTTCAAGGCCTTGTAAACATACCAAGTCTTTTCGTTACTCGAGTTCTAGTTTTTAACCCTTTCACTCCCATCAGATCTAATTAGTAATTTTCCTTACTGTCTGATGTACAATTTTTGGTGATAGTTTGGAGAATTTGGTATTGGATAAAGTAGTAATCCCCTAATTGATATTTTTATCCTCATCACTTGTCTGCTTGATATTGCATTGATATTGTTATAAGAAATTCTGTCTTGATCACTCGTGTTAGTTAAAAAATGGAGGTGAGGCTGGAGAAATGAACGAGATCAGTAAAGTGTAATAAATAAAATACTGTCACAAAAATGTCATTACATTCATCTGAAACACTAAAATAATTTAATGATATTGTCTTAAAGTGGGGACAGAAAACCGAATGCCTTTGTTTCAAGTCCCACGTATCTATGTACAGTTCTGTGCTCATGAATCCTTAAAAAATGCTTACACTGTACATCTATCGTTGCACATATGTACAATTGGCAAACCATTTGCACCTCCAAGTCTTCTGACCTTGCCAAAACTGGCATGGAAAAGTGACTCTTGATACGAAATGGACAAAGGATATCAGGAGAACTCAAGAAAAAGTAAGATGTCCAATTTTCTGGCCACCAACAATAAAATGAAATGTCTAAGGATCATTTCCTGTTTAAAGTAATTAACAAGATTTGTGATCCGATGAGAAGCAAGCTTTTCCCTCCAAGATAAAAATACACTCAAATATACTATCAAAATCTTGTACTTCAAGGTAACTGGCCCTAAATTAGAAATCTGAATTTCATCGCGCTCTTTCCACTCTTAGCATCACGCAAGAAATTTTTTCTTTTTGATTGACATGGTTTTCTAAAGTTGAATTCAAAACGTCCTCCTTTAGACGTGTTCTTCTTTTTTTTTGAACTTCTTTGCTGGGAGTGGTCGATGCCTCGATCAGTGTTTCATCAAAAGAAGCAGTTGCTTGGAGAAGATTGGTTTCACAGGTATCGCTATTTAATAACTGTTCGCTTCTCTCTTTTGCGAGCCTCACGATTGAGTCACACAAGCTTTCAATTGACGAATAATCACAGGTTGTATCTCATTGTATGTGTGCCACATTTATTGTCATTGTCTTTGAAGAAAAAAATCTTTCAGTCCAAAACCCACCGGAGCGTTTCTCTTCCTGTCTTTGTGCAGCTTCATTATAAACCGGAAGTTTAGTATTTTTTGGAGATACGATATGTTGCGTTCACTTGTGGTCGTAATCCTCTAAGATCATTTTAATATTTCTGCATTCAGAAAACAGACAAGAATAGTGAGACTTTGCCGCCTCACAAACTATAAGACCATTTTAGCTTCCCTGAATTCAATGATAGACTGAGTAAAAGGCTGTTATTTTATGAGCTTCTTTGGCTTTTCTTTACAGGCGATCAAGCTCACGTGAAACTACTCCACATTACCTTCCTACATACATTTTTTCTTAATGTTGGTTTCACATACCCAATGTATTTATATTTTTGATTATATTTAAAAGTTCAGATATTGTTTTATATTTCGCTCAGCACACGAAGAATCTAGTTAAAAATCAAAGGTTTTTATCATGTATATCGAAACATGACCAGTTTTATTTTTCCACAAAGAAACCCTGGATGAAACGGAAGTTATGAAACGCTAGTTTATAGTGGCTAGGTTTGTATTTTGTCTGAATAGGTTGAGGAACATGACAAATTTTATCACTGAATATATCACACAACAAATTATTAAACTTACGACAAAACAATTCCTGAGACAAATTACTTATTTCCTGTGGATTATTGTTCATACTGAGTCGATGGCAAAGTCGTAATAGGAGACACGTGAGGGGAGGGGTGGAAGCGGAACTTCGCTTCATCGTAACATCAAAACACGGAAAACACAACTGCAGAGGAATATTTCATAAAGCTGTGCTTTTCGAAACTTATCTTTTTAAACAGAATTAGCCGTTGTTAATAGCAAAAGTTCAGCGTTACTTTGCAAACTGATCACTGATTACGTTAATCAGTGTGCTTTTTTTTATTTAAACAAACAAGTAAAACAGGAAATAATGTATCAAACTCAGAGACTTTATCTTTCAAACTGTTTAGATCTGTGGCTCTCGCTACTTATATGCAAATTTCTGATATTTTGTGTTACCATCGCCACATTTGGACAACTCTCTGTCCTCATTATTTATAACTATTCGTATCACCTACATCGCTTTTATATCACGCATAGTGGAATACTTTTTTATATTCCCTGACCATGTCGTAGATCGGCGTTAGCTTGGAGTAAAAGAGAAATACATTAGCTCGAGGCCTTAACTGAATCATTCATTTAAGCAACATGCTACTGAAAGGCAACTTCAAACGTTTAAAGGCACAACTGTTTATGTTTTTTCTTTTGTCAATAGGATTTCTGTACATGCCAAAAAGAGACAGATCCATAAAAACTTTACGGATTTAAGGGGCAAAGGACAACATTTGTGCCAGCAAAGAAATTCCTTGTCTTGAATTCCTTCAAATTAAATAAACAAAGACAAAAAACACAAGCTAAAACTACCCGCAAAAACTATTCATAACAATTAGATCAAAGGCTCAAGATTTTAAAGACGCTTAAAAATTGATAGCGAATAATCTAATGGCTTTAGTACAAATCTAATTCTTGTTCAAAACAGACATATTTCTATGTTTCTTTTTGAATACAACCGCATACTATTAGGTTCCCAACTACTGTCGTAACTTCCGCGGCCATTTGGGTACGAGATTAGTTCCTCACTTCATTGTCTATTTTCATTCTCATACATTTAAAATCACGATCGCCATTTCATCAACATTTTCAAGATCAAAAGAGTTACAGCAACAACTCAAATGTCCGCCTTAATCTATGTCAGTTCTTAAGCCAGCATCAAAACCGTTATAATTTAAACATCTCTTCCTCCTTGAACTGTTCAACTACGTACGACGTCAGAACCCGGAACTATGACAAGAGACTCTTTGCGACGCCAACAGAGACATGGAACACGTAGACAAATAATTGACAAGCAATAAAATATCATGTTGGTGTGTAGCGGGCTCTCTCACTGTATGTGTGCCATGTTTATTGACATTGTTTTTGAAGAAAGTAAACTTTCATTTCAAAACCAACTAGTGCGTCTCTCTTCCTTTTTTTGTGTAGCTTCATTATTAAACGAAAGTTTAGTTATTTTTCGGAGATACGGTATGTTGCGTTCATTTATGGTCGTAATAATCCAGTCCAAAAATAAGCAGAGCGTTTCTCTTCCTTTTTTAGTGCAGCTTCATTATTAAACGAAAGTTTAGTTATTTTTCGGAGATACGGTATGTTGCGTTCATTTGTGGTCGTAATACTCTAGTCCAAGAATAAGCAGAGCGTTTCTCTTCCTGTTTTTGTGCCGCGTCATGATCACAAGGACTTAAATAAGTCATCAGTTTGGCTTTTTTTTTGCGGAGATACAGTATGTTGCGTTCATTTGTGTTCACGAAAGACCATCAACCAAGTGGAATAATGGAATAATGGATAATAGTGGAATAATAGCGAAGTTCCACTTCCACCCCTCCCCCCACCTGTCTTTTATTACGACTTTGCCATTTGTGTTCACGAGAGGCCATCAACCAAGTGGAATAATGCGAAAATACCGACAATTTCAACAGGTATATTTTCCATGCCTCGCTAAGCCAACAGCGAGCGATTAAGAGAGATGAAAGAAGAGTTTCATGTTCAATTGTGAAGTTACTAAAATGAAAATGTGCTACATTGTCTTTTTTTGACTTTTGAAATAATCATTTGTTTCCAGTCTTGACAATTAACGCATTTATTCGTTGCGATCGAGAAGGAAGAGTGAAATTAGTTTGAGTCAATAAAATTTTCCTAGCATGACCAAATCTAAAAACAAATTACTCAATTCCTGTGGATATTATTGTTCATACTGAGTCGATGGCAAAGTCGTAATAGGAGACAGGTGGGGGGGAGGGGTGGAAGTGGAACTTCGCTGCATCGAAACATCAAAACATTTCATAAAGGTGTGCTTTTCGAAACTTATCTTTTTGAACAGAATTAGCCGTTGTTAATAGCAAAAGTTCAGTGTTACTTTGCAAACTGATCACTGATTACGTTAATCAATGTGCATTTTTTACTTTACACAAAAAAGTAAAACAGGAAATAATGTATCAAACTTAGAGACTTTGTCTTTCAAACTGTTTAGATCTGTGGCTCTCGCTACTTATATGCAAATTTCTGATATTCTGTGTTACCATCGCCATGCACCATGCATGACCTTCCGCGGCCATTTGGGTACGAGATTAGTTCCTCTCTTCACTGTCTATTTTCATTCTCATACATTTAAAATCATGATCGCCATTTCATCAACATTTTCAAGATCAAAAGAGTTACAGCAACAACTCAAATGTCCGCCTTAATCTATGTCAGTTCTTAAGCCAGCATCAAAACCGTTATAATTTAAACATCTCTTCCTCCTTGAACTGTTCAACTACGTACGACGTCAGAACCCGGAACTATGACAAGAGACTCTTTGCGACGCCAACAGAGACATGGAACACGTAGACAAATAATTGACAAGCAATAAAATATCATGTTGGTGTGTAGCGGGCTCTCTCACTGTATGTGTGCCATGTTTATTGACATTGTTTTTGAAGAAAGTTAACTTTCATTTCAAAACCCACTAGTGCGTCTCTCTTCCTTTTTTTGTGTAGCTTCATTTTTAAACAAAAGTTTAGTCATTTTTCGGAGATACGGTATGTTGCGTTCATTTATGGTCGTAATAATCCAGTCCAAAAATAAGCAGAGCGTTTCTCTTCCTTTTTAACGCGTGAATTGCGCGCATGCGCTAGAGCGAGTTATAGATACCATGTGGGGAATGGCATTCGCTCGCTCGCTCGCTCGATTGGTCGATTCCTGTAAACCTTTTTTAGATTTTAGGCTTTTGAGTGCATTTGATAGTTTTTAGCGAGTAGTAAACAGAAGAAATGGCGACCTTTGTTGCTAAGAATTGTGGTGGGGTGAAAAAGAAGCCAATGATAATCTTAAAAGAGTTTTTTTTTCGTTTTAGTTTCAACAAGCGGCGCCAGCGACTGGCAGGCATGCAAGGATTTACACTGAAATAACAGAACAACCTTCGTTTTTCATAAAATTGTAATTTACAATCCTTGAACTCGAAAACAATCCGAAGATTCATTGAAAATATTACTTACTGCGAAGCGCTCGAAGTTTACAGATGTTCAAAAGCTTTTCTGTTATGGCGTGAGATTGAGGACAAAATTGATCATTACGTTTCGTCGCGTGTGTTTTTCCTGTGTGAAGCAACAAAAGATGCCGGCGACTGACGAAATTATAAGTTAACACGAAAATCAGATAACACCTAAACAAACAATTTTAGCTACCGATTTTCAGTGAATTTTTAAAGAACAATTTTCTTTTAAGTTTCAAGACAATTTGAAGATTCAACATACATACAACGTACTAAAATGCAAAAGTTACAAACCACAAAATTGATAAATAGGCCTGAAATGAAATCCTATCTTGTTATTGATTATACGTTGCCTAGCACGTAACTTAAATCTACCCAGGCGGAGATCCAAAATGACGGTGGCAGGCTTGGCTTAGTTATATCACTCAAAACTCGTTCCAGTTTGTCTGATTTGATAAAGAGGGAATCGTTAATGTTTTCATTAAGACAGTATTGCCTTGATTTTCTAATATTTACAACGAAAGACAGTAAATTTCACTTTTCACCCACATTTACTTCCAACCTTTTCTTTTGAACCAGAAACAAAAATGATAGACGTTTAAAACACATGACATCATCCACCTTGTCAAATGTAATAGCATGATCATTTCAATTGTAATGCCTTCTTATCCCAACGTTACTTTGTTTCTTTGCTACATTAGCGAACACTGAACTACTGCTCGTACTATAGATATGACAATCAACCACAAAATTCCCTAAACCAGATAATATTAAACATCATGTGTCAAAATCATGTGTCAATTCACGAGTTTGCTCACAGAGCACTTTGATTTAGTGCAGCTTTATTATCAAACGAAAGTTTAGTTATTTTTCGGAGATACGGTATGTTGCGTTCATTTGTGGTCGTAATACTCTAGTCCAAGAATAAGCAGAGCGTTTCTCTTCCTGTTTTTGTGCCGCGTCATGAACACAAGGACTTAAATAAGTCATCAGTTTAGCTTTTTTTTGCGGAGATACAGTATGTTGCGTTCATTTGTGTTCACGAAAGGCCATCAACCAAGTGGAATAATGCGAAAATACCGACAATTTCAACAGGTATATTTCCATGCCTTGCCAAGCCAACAGCGAGCGATTAAGAGAGATGAAAGAAGAGTTTCATGTTCAATTGTGAAGTTACTAAAATGAAAATGTGCTACATTGTCTTTTTTTGACTTTTGAAATAATCATTTGTTTCCAGTCTTGACAATTAACGCATTTATTCGTTGCGATCGAGAAGGAAGAGTGAAATTAGTTTGAGTCAATAAAATTTTCCTGGCATGACCAAATCTAAAAACAAATTACTCAATTCCTGTGGATTATTGTTCATACTGAGTCGATGGCAAAGTCGTAATAGGAGACAGGTGGGGGGAGGGGTGGAAGTGGAACTTCGCTGCATCGAAACATCAAAACATTTTATAAAGGTGTGCTTTTCGAAACTTATCTTTTTAAACAGAATTAGCCGTTGTTAATAGCAAAAGTTCAGTGTTACTTTGCAAACTGATCACTGATTACGTTAATCAATGTGCATTTTTTACTTTACACAAAAAAGTAAAACAGGAAATAATGTATCAAACTTAGAGACTTTGTCTTTCAAACTGTTTAGATCTGTGGCTCTCGCTACTTATATGCAAATTTCTGATATTCTGTGTTACCATCGCCATGCACCATGCATGACCTTCCGCGGCCATTTGGGTACGAGATTAGTTCCTCTCTTCACTGTCTATTTTCATTCTCATACATTTAAAATCATGATCGCCATTTCATCAACATTTTCAAGATCAAAAGAGTTACAGCAACAACTCAAATGTCCGCCTTAATCTATGTCAGTTCTTAAGCCAGCATCAAAACCGTTATAATTTAAACATCTCTTCCCCCCTGAACTGTTCAACTACGTACGACGTCAGAACCCGGAACTATGACAAGAGACTCTTTGCGACGCCAACAGAGACATGGAACACGTAGACAAATAATTGACAAGCAATAAAATATCATGTTGGTGTGTAGCGGGCTCTCTCACTGTATGTGTGCCATGTTTATTGACATTGTTTTTGAAGAAAGTAAACTTTCATTTCAAAACCCACTAGTGCGTCTCTCTTCCTTTTTTTGTGTAGCTTCATTATTAAACAAAAGTTTAGTTATTTTTCGGAGATACGGTATGTTGCGTTCATTTGTGGTCGTAACACTCCAGTCCAATAAGCAGAGCGTCTCTCTTCCTGTTTTTGTGCCGCGTCATGAACACAAGGACTCAAATCAATCATCAGTTTAGCTATTTTTTTCGGATACAGTATGTTGCGTTCATTTGTGTTCACGAAAGGCCATCAACCAAGTGGAATAATGCGAAAATATCGAAAATTTCAACAGGTACATTTTCCATGCCTCGCCAAGCCAACAGCGAGCGACTAAGGGAAATGAAAGAAGAGTTTCATGTTCAATTGTGAAGTTACTAAAATGAAAATGTGCTTCATTGTCTTTTTCCGACTTTCGAAATAATCATTTGTTCCCAGTCTCAACAATTAACGCAATTATTCGTTGCGATCGAGAGGGTAGAGTGAAATTAGTTTGAGTCAATAAGGCTTGTCCGAGATTCTAAGCCATTGTAACAATTCATAAAGATTGCCAGATTTTTTTCGTTTTTGGCCAAAGAGCTTATTAACTTTTGTGGGTTTGTGTGCATCATAAAAATGACGAGCATCGTTAGAGTAGGAAAATGAGGGAAAAACATAGGAAACACGATATACTGCTTTCACTTGCGGTCATTTGTGGTCGTTAATGCGTCAGTATCCCGCTAAAAATAAGCTGTTTTGATCATGAATTCTTGTAATTCTTATTGCTCTGACCTTGCCCTGAAGAACAAAAGAGTAAACCTATGACTAATTCTGATTTCATGACATTCTGCCAAAGAATGTAACTACCCAATCACAATACTAGATCAATATAAAAAGGTCATCGTTACTAAGCGTTCTTTTTTCCTTCTACCAACTATTTATTCCGCAGCCAACCTCGGCGACGAGTAACTGTTAGTCACTGGGATCCTGCAGATAACATCTCTTCAGCATTTTGAGTGATCATCTTCCTTCAACTTCAAGAACTTCTGAGAGAAGTCAAAGAGCTTTGGTAAGTTGACTTCTCATTTCACTTTTTAGCTGATTGAACAAGCAGCGAATGCATCTGCACAAATTTGTTCTTTGTGCGTAGAAGACGAAGTGTCTTAATATTTTCATTTCGAGGGGGAAGACCATCGAGATTTTCCTCGTAAAGCAATAATTAATGCACATCGTTATCGACTTCATAGCACTGAAAAAACGTTGTTCGTTAACAAAAGGAAGTAAACAACAGATTTGCCACCGAAAAGTTTTCGACCGACGTGCTGCCGTTGTCGGTTTGGCGGTGGTTATCTCTATGGGAGAGTCAAGACAGGTTTACTAATAGCAACCATCATCAAAAATATTATACTCTCTCTATGATATTTTAAGACGATTTTATGAAATGAATTTCGGCCTATGTGAGGAAACATCAAAACATCTTTCTGTTCGCCCTTTGGAAAGGGTTTTTGCCTCACGTCATTTCAAAATAACTTCGTAAAATAAGCTTTATTTACTAGTGGTTATAGAACATGTTTCTCACTAAAGGTCCTAAAGGAAATTAGTTATTCAGGTCCTCCGGCTGAAACGTTACAGTGAGATCCATTCCGTTAGTTTATCTTTTCTTTTTCAGAAAATTTATCTTTGCACTTGACGTAAATAGAACAATCCAACTAGCGCTATGAACTTTGCTTAATAGCTAATCAGAAAAACCACAAGAGTATTCACAATCAAAGTTTAAACAACAATGTCAAACTCTAACGAGGATAGGCTCACAGGTAGAATAAAACACGACAAACAGGAATATAAGTCATATAGCGCAAAAAGGAAGGTACAAATTGTTAAGAGTCAGTTGTATAGGAGGAGACATCATATGCACTCAAACTACAAACCGAAGCAATATGAAAGTCAACAATGGCGTCCTTTGCTTTGTAGCTAAGCACTTTTAAGGAGGTCTTATCAATGACAGGAGACAACATAATTTTCTCTCAACAGCAGCGGACTATTTTTAATTTTTGTTCAAAATATTTATTTTTTAGCTGAACTCTGAAGGTTTTAGATGAAGATAGATCTGTATAAGTATCCAGTAAACTATAACCTGTTCTCTCGTTTGTTTTTTCTAGAAAATAATGTAGCGAATTGAAACCAACATGACTTAAGACTTCAAATAATTAGGCCTGTCTCTAAGACTCATTTTGTTAACTGAACACAAGACATAATGAAAAGTGTTCTGACCCGCAAAGATATACGAGTATATTCAGTGTCAATTAAATGTTGCATGTCCTCAACTGGTCTAAGTTTAGAAAAAAAAAGGTATTTATTATAATTGATAATTGATGATCAAACATAGAGCCGGCAATCATTGTAAATCGAGTATTCGCCAATTCGCTACCCTCAATGAAGTACTACATGGTCGATTCTGAAATAATGTTCTGTCTTTTGCTCATTCCAGTGTGCTCTCTTTCAGATATTTACTCCATTGATGTCTTCAGTTTCTGTGATGGGTGACGCTAAAGGTCAGTCGACTTCTTACCAAAATTAATATTTTTCCTAATTTATATCTTAAGTGGCCCGCTGTCATTTTTCCAGCTCTCTTGCACACATAAAAGGCCAAATTGATGGTCAGTTGATTCTTAATTTAATATTTAAATTAAAGTATCGGCAGAGAAAGCAAGATGCTGGCCTTATTTTCGCAGGTTTTGCAAATATCAGCAAGGTGTGTTGTAGATTGATCAGTGGTCTTTGATCTGCATCGAGGTTTTAATTGTAGTTTACAGTAAATGTCTAATCTGGCTTTCTCAGCCCTTTCTCTCTCCCCTTTTTATTTTGATTGTGTTTTACTGTACTTTGAAATGGAACTCCTAAAAGCTATCCGAAAAGAAAAATGCGATCCTGAACGTGTGGATTGTTACAAATATCTTGGGGTTACACTGAATCAGCATCTGTCTTCAGAAGATCACGTCTCAAACATTGCCTCCAAAATACGTAAACGAATATCAATTTTATCTAGAATTAAATACATGCTACCTATATCTGTAAGACTAACTTTCTATAACACCATGATCAAGCCCATTTTTGAATACAATAGTATTGCGGGGGGAGACAAAAGAAATACAGTTCATATGGACACTCTTCAAATACTTCAAAACAGAGGTGCGAAGATAATCTTTGGCAGAGAATTAAGAGATTCTGCTACACAAGCTTTGAAAGATCTCAACTGGGTAACTTTAGTCAAAAAGAGAACTATCGACCGATGAATTTTTGTTTACAAATGCCTGAACAACCTCATTGGGTTTGATTTTGGTTTTAAATCATTTAAAAATAGACATGATTGCTATACTAGAAACAAACAAAACCTTGCATTTGAATTATCTAAGACAAACTGGGGTTTTTTCAAAACTGTCCCACACTGTGGAAAGGAACACCTTCGACTTGGAAACCAGAAACGCTGATAACCTTAATGCCTTTAAGAAATCAATTGTTAAGATTTTTTCTTAACATTATATTTTTCTATTTCGCATATACCTTTGTAATATTTTACAATCTTTTATATATAATATTAATTATCCTCATTATTTATTTATTTATATTTTTGACATTTAGCTAAGACCTCCCTGAAAATCATGTTTGTATGAGTGGAGCATCCTCATTAAAGATCATTACTTCTCCTCCCCTGCCCCGACCCTGATTCTCATTTCGCTGGAAATGTGTAAGAAATCTGAATGAATTCTTATTCCTTCCAAGAAACCAGAAGAAATCCCCAGACAGCGCGGAAGGTTACATTTCATCTAATTTTCTTTTCACCAGTGACCTATGACGAGCAAGATGGATCTCTCAGCAGTTGCTTGTCCAACGAGAGAATCTATGGCCCTGGATTGCCGGATGTAATTTCCTTTCCACAAGTACCCTCTCTCAAACCAGGAGAATCTTTCTGCAGCGCCTTGTTCAACGCTCCAAAGAGTGAGAGAATCCGCAATCTGGCAAAGGAATCCACGTTTATCCAGGGCATGGTTAAAGGATCACTTGACCCTAATGTCTATGGCGGCTACATGGTGCAGGATGCAGCTTATTGCTTCAATGCAGTGGATTCTTTCGAACGAGCTGCTGAGAAGATGCAAGAAGTTGGCAAACCTGAATTCTCTTTATTCTACAGAACCCAATCAGAGAGTTTCAAACGCTACAACCTGGATTTTCTACAAACATGGCGGCTTCGAAATTCAGACAGCGTGGCTATGGGGCCGGCTGCAGCAACGTACGTGGGATATGAACGAGCCTTGAGCCAAAACGATCCCAAGTACCTTTGCATTGCCATGTTACCATGTACCATGCTATGGCCCTGGATTGCCGACCAACTCATAGATTCAGTCGACAAGAACAACCCATATTACGTCTGGTTTAAAGACAACAAGCCAAGCCCGGGCCACAAAAGCCACCTGGAAAGGTTCGTAGATCACTTCTTTGTCCAAGTAGAGCCTGAGGAACAGCAGAAGTGCCTTTCCATTTTTCAAGAAGGTTTGGTTAACGAGCTGAATTTCTTCCGCAGTGCCTGCAAACAAACCCTGTTTAACGACTCGACCTTCCAGGAGTAACTTGTAAAAATACGTTAATGTTGTTGTTTGTGGTTGGAATCAGCGTGTCTGTGATACCTCTGAAATAGAACTAACTCGGAAATTTGTCTAATAACTCGTCTGCTTGATATTGCATTGATATTGTAAGAAGAAATTCTCTCTTGATCACTCACGGTAGTAAAACAAAGAGGTGAGGCTGGAATAATTGACGAGATAAGTAAAGTGTGTTTTTTTTTGCTATGAGGGATAGATAAAGTTATTTTGTCTGTAATAATAAATAAGAAACAGTTACAAAAATGTCATTACACTCATCTGAAACACTAAAATAATTTAATGATATTGTCTTTAAGAGGGGACACAAAACCGAATGCTTTTGTTTCAAGTCCCACGCATCTTTGTACAGCTCTGTACTCATGAATCCTTTAAAAATCCTTAAAACCACTGTTGTTCATATGTACAATTGGCAAGCCATTTGCACCTCCAAGTCTTCTGACCTTACCAAAACTGGCATGAAAAATTGCTCTTGATACGAAATAGACAAGGGATATCAGGAGAACTCGAGAAAAAGTAAGATGTCCAATTTTCTAGCCACCAACAATAAAATGAAATATCTTATGATCATTTCCTATTTAAAAGAATTACCAAAATTTATGATCCGCTGAGTAGCAAGATTTTGCCTCCAAGATAAAAATATACTCAAATATACTCCCAAAATCTTGCACTTCAACGTAATTGGCCTTAAATTAGAAATCCGAATTATTTCATCGCGCTATTTCCACACTTAGCATCACGCAAGTCATTTTTCTTTTTGATTAACAAGGTTCGGAGACATGGTTAAAAAAATTTCTTTTGTCAAGTTGAATTGAAAACGTCCTCCTTCAGACGTGTTCTTCATTCTTTTGAACTTCTTTGCTGGGAGTGGTCGGTGCCTCGATCAGTGTTTCATCAAAAGAAGCAGCTGCTTGGAGAAGCTTGGTTTCACAGGTATCGCTATTCAATAACTGTTCGCTTCTTTCTTTGGCCAGCCTCACGATTGAGTCGCACAAGCTTTCAATTGACGAATAATCACAGGTTGTGAAGTCAAACAAGTCCCTGATGAAATCAAGGATAAGGCTCTGCAGAGGATGAAAATAATACTTTAAGGGTAGAAAATAAAGCCGCCTGCATTTATACACAAAAATCAATCATCCTGAGCAGTTATTCGAGAAAATACAGTTTCTACTAAACTCTTGAATTATATCAAATTAATGACATACGCTTGACTGTCAAATGATTTAAATTAATTTACCTTGAAGTATTCACAGACTATTTTCAGTTTGTCATCTGATCCCAGGAATCCCCAAGCGAGAACTGGAGAAACATACTGCGCCACTACATAGAAATGAGCCATGAAACCGTAAGGGTCCTGTGTTCACAAAAACGTCCAAAATCAGTCGAGCATCAACACAATTTATACAGAGAGGCCCCTATTTTGTCCCTGCTTATATAAAGTTACAGTTTCGAACAACAAAAATGACACCACTAGTTACAATAGCTGCAACTTTTGTTGGTGTAAATTAGATTGGACACTTTGACTCCTATTAGATCTCATAAGTAGTTCTCCTTACTGTCTGCCATGAAACTTTTGTGATGTCAGTTTAGAGAATTTGGAATTGGATCAACTTATAATCACCTGATTTATATTTTTCTTCATTCTCATAACTTGTCTGCTTGATATTGTATTGATATTGTAAGAAGAAATTCTGTCTCAGTTTAAGTAAGGATCGCCTATAAATACTGTGTATTTTGGTTTTAAACATCAGTAAAAATAATAAAAAGATCTATGGCTGGAAGTGGCAACAGACCTTAAGATAAGAAGTTTTAGCCTTTAAAACTCCCCAGATGGCTGTCGTAAAGGACAATAAAGAATGTACAATGCTGTAATGGAAATAATTACAGCATGTTCAGATGACAACAGTAAAATGGTTAAAGGCAAATAAAATTTTAAAACTGTAGTTAAATAAAATGCCTTGGTGTTATTTGCAGACACTTTGCATGTCACAAGAAAGTTAATTTAAGAAGTGCTTTCACACCGCAGTGTGGCTCTTTGTCCGCAGTTTCATTCCCTTGAGCTGTTTTGTTCAGTGGGATTGCAATTATGTACAGTATAATGTAGATTCTTTTTTTTCTGGAAACAAAAACTTCATTCTCCTCTGGGGGAAAGAAGCTTTTTCTTACCTATCCCCTCCCTCTCAGGGTCAACAGAAATCAAAATGTGGCCTTGAAATTATTGTTAGTGTACAATACAAACCCTTGTAAAATAGTACAAAATCCAGTAACCTGTCAGTCAACAGTCAGCTGACAGGTTACCAACACATTACTGACACATTACCAACAGTCAGCCGAGAGTGTTAAGTTGACCAAAAATTGATAGAAAATGGTAGTGCATTTAGGGGATTGGGAACTAGAAAAACTTTTCAATATGGTGGATAATTGAAATCGTGTTTCGCTAACCAATGCAAAAAAGTGGGCAAAAGCCATAGTAGCTATTGAGAGTGCAGTGCAAGGTATCTTTTTGAAATGACTGTTCCTCTTTTTATGTAGTTTTAGAAGCAATAAATAGGTAAATGTTTATGATCATTTCAGTTTATGACCCACTGACAGGTTACCGACAGGTTGCCAATAGGTCACTGACTGTTGGCTGACAGTCAGCTAAGACTTTGGCCAGACACATAACAAAAACGGTGTCGGCTGACTGTTGGCCACCTGTTGGCCAACAGTTGGCTGACAATCGGCTGACAGACGGCCGACAGTATCTTTTTAGAACTTTTCTTCACTTTTACTGAAAAATCTAGCAGGAACTTTATAGTACACTGGAACTTAAAACAACTTAAATTAATACAAACTGAGAGAAAACTTGCTTTCCAATAAAACAAATTATAACATTAACACAAAACAAAGGAAAAGAATTTGGCATGTCATGACCATGCATAGGAACAAATTTAAGTTTAGCTTAATTATCTAACACTTACACTTGTAGTGAGTGAGTCATGTAAAAGGTACAGCTACTGTGATACACAAAACAAAAAAATAAAAGGGGATTTTCCAATTTCATGTTACTTATTATGTTAAATATTGCACCTGATCTTACGACAGCAGATACCATGACGAATGTAATGTTGCAGTCCAGACACATGAAACTCAAGGTGACTAAAAGAGTAAACAAAAAAACAATCAAAATATGTATAGCATATATTAAATCAATCTTCCAACTGTTGAACTTATGAAAGTTTGCATATACACAAACTATAATATTATTGTGGTAAAGCACATTAAATTTTCACCATTATTGGATTATTTAATTACAGAGCTGTAGATACATGTAGTCTACTTGCTTGTGATAGAAGCATTAAATTCTATTAGTGTACCTATGACTTCCAGCTGTATGAAGAACAGCTTCCCTAAACAGCTTCAGTAGCTGTGACTCATTGACAAGTCTCTCATTAATGATATCGTCAAACTACAGAACAACATTGGTACAGTAAATGTTTTTAACTCAGAAGAAACATCACACTATTTATACATTTAATGTTGTCTGATTGCTCAAAGCAGCATTGAGAAGCTAACAATTAGTCACATAATTCTGGCAACCTGAGTACAAGTCATAATTTCATCATCATACGGTTCCTTTCCACAAATTTTTTTTTGCGAAAAGTCTGGAGGTCTACACGTACAATACCCAGAACATAAACCAGACGATTATCTGATAAAGTGCTGCCGAGAATTGGAATCTGTGACTAACACAAAAGGAAGACGGAAAGTTGGAGATAGAGAGAGAGCTAAAAAAAAAAGACAAACAAACAAACAAACAGGGTCAAATGGAAAAAATTGAAATAACTCCTGCTTGGTATTCCAAGATGGCTACAGGAATATCATCTTTTAATTAAATTTCAATCATGTTTTAATATTTAATTATTCTACATTTAAATTGAATACTTCCAATAAAAAAAGTACCTCTAACTGTGTATTATCAGATGCAGACACAAAGGAATCAGCATCAGAAGAGTTCTGATCCTCCAGATCTTCATTGAATTCCAACGGTATTTGCTCCTGTAAACTCCCATCATCAATCCATGTCGACATGTTGTTTGGTGTCCGTGGTAAAGGTGTCTCCATGAGATCATACTGTTCAATCACTTTCCGCAGCTTTCTGGAACCACTAATCAAGGCATTCAGCTTTTTGTCCGCTTCAATAAGGAAGAATGAGTTTTTTCCTCCTTGAGAGAGACCTGGACGCCGCCATTCCATCACATAATCTGTAGCTTCATACCAATGTTCCAATGCCATGTCAAAGTTTTCAACACCTGTTTTGCATCACAAAATTCAATTGATAGGTCACATATAGGAAAATAAACTTTAATACTTATATAAAACAAATAGGACACTTCTATACAAAATGTAGTTAAAATCTATATTATACATGTAGCTCTTTACATTCAAGAGACTCTCAAAATGGTTGAACAACTTTAATTGACATTTAGACTGATATGTTTATCTACATTCATGGGATAATGTCCTTTGAATGAGAAACAATTAACCTGCACAGGATCATAGCTCCTTCGTACACAAGGACTTTGGAAAATCAGGAGTTTTAAAGTATTCAGGATTATGAATAAAAAACATACCTCTCTTTATAAGCTCCTCAACAATTTCTTCTTCATCTGTGATAACATCTCCTAGGTCAATAGCACTATCTTCAGAAACCCTTCCATCTGGTAAAAATTGATGTAATTTGTACTGTCCAGTAATATTTTTATTTTAAGTAATATTAGGCTAAGCCTAAACTATGCAGTTCATGAACTCTAGCAAGAAGAAAATAATCATCCAATTATTTACCATTAACTAGAACACCATCATCCAATGCAGCATTTGGTGATTGAAGATTTGCTGCATGTCTTCGCAACACAACTTCATTATCTAAGCTTGTTGTACTTCTAGGGGTGTGTCTGGAAGATTCACCAGCTGTAGATATTCTTGAGCTCCCTGTCAAAGGAAGGAAAATTTGAATAAATGAGTACAAAAATAAATCAAAAGACATACAGGTGTACATATATATACAGTATAAATCAATCATTATCTGGTTGTTGATAGCAACTGTCAATACTAATGAGGTTCACACATTAAATAACTTTAGGCTACAAGTGTATGACTGATATTTCTGTAGAATGCTACACTGCAAAAGTACAGTAACCTACTTCATTGTTAGTAGTTTGTCCTTCTGTCAACTTTTGAGGTAATCATTTGTTTCCAGTCTTGACAATTAACGCATTTATTCGTTGCGATCGAGAAGGAAGAGTGAAATTAGTTTAAGTCAATAAAATTTTCCTAGCATGACCAAATCTAAAAATAAATTACTCAATTCCTGTGGATTATTGTTCATACTGAGTCGATGGCAAAGTCGTAATAGGAGACAGGTGGGGGGAGGGGTGGAAGTGGAACTTCGCTGCATCGAAACATCAAAACTTTCATAAAGATGTGCTTTTCGAAACTTATCTTTTTAAACAGAATTAGCTGTTGTTAATAGCAAAAGTTCAGTGTTACTTTGCAAACTGATCACTGATTACGTTAATCAATGTGCATTTTTTACTTTAAACAAAAAAGTAAAACAGGAAATAATGTATCAAACTTAGATACTTTGTCTTTCAAACTGTTTAGATCTGTGGCTTTCGCTACTTATATGCAAATTTCTGATATTCTGTGTTACCATTGCCATGCACCATACATGACCTTCCGCGGCCATTTGGGTAAGAAATTAGTTCCTCTCTTCACTGTCTATTTTCATTCTCATACATTTAAAATCATGATCGCCATTTCATCAACATTTTCAAGATCAAAAGAGTTACAGCAACAACTCAAATGTCCGCCTTAATCTATGTCAGTTCTTAAGCCAGCATCAAAACCGTTATAATTTAAACATCTCTTCCCCCCTGAACTGTTCAACTACGTACGACGTCAGAACCCGGAACTATGACAAGAGACTCTTTGCGACGCCAACAGAGACATGGAACACGTAGACAAATAATTGACAAGCAATAAAATATCATGTTGGTGTGTAGCGGGCTCTCTCACTGTATGTGTGCCATGTTTATTGACATTGTTTTTGAAGAAAGTAAACTTTCATTTCAAAACCCACTAGTGCGTCTCTCTTCCTTTTTTTGTGTAGCTTCATTATTAAACAAAAGTTTAGTTATTTTTCGGAGATACGGTATGTTGCGTTCATTTGTGTTCACGAAAGGCCATCAACCAAGTGGAATAATGCGAAAATATCGAAAATTTCAACAGGTACATTTTCCATGCCTCGCCAAGCCAACAGCGAGCGACTAAGGGAAATGAAAGAAGAGTTTCATGTTCAATTGTGAAGTTACTAAAATGAAAATGTGCTTCATTGTCTTTTTCCGACTTTCGAAATAATCATTTGTTCCCAGTCTCAACAATTAACGCAATTATTCGTTGCGATCGAGAGGGTAGAGTGAAATTAGTTTGAGTCAATAAGGCTTGTCCGAGATTCTAAGCCATTGTAACAATTCATAAAGATTGCCAGATTTTTTTCGTTTTTGGCCAAAGAGCTTATTAACTTTTGTGGGTTTGTGTGCATCATAAAAATGACGAGCATCGTTAGAGTAGGAAAATGAGGGAAAAACATAGGAAACACGATATACTGCTTTCACTTGCGGTCATTTGTGGTCGTTAATGCGTCAGTATCCCGCTAAAAATAAGCTGTTTTGATCATGAATTCTTGTAATTCTTATTGCTCTGACCTTGCCCTGAAGAACAAAAGAGTAAACCTATGACTAATTCTGATTTCATGACATTCTGCCAAAGAATGTAACTACCCAATCACAATACTAGATCAATATAAAAAGGTCATCGTTACTAAGCGTTCTTTTTTCCTTCTACCAACTATTTATTCCGCAGCCAACCTCGGCGACGAGTAACTGTTAGTCACTGGGATCCTGCAGATAACATCTCTTCAGCATTTTGAGTGATCATCTTCCTTCAACTTCAAGAACTTCTGAGAGAAGTCAAAGAGCTTTGGTAAGTTGACTTCTCATTTCACTTTTTAGCTGATTGAACAAGCAGCGAATGCATCTGCACAAATTTGTTCTTTGTGCGTAGAAGACGAAGTGTCTTAATATTTTCATTTCGAGGGGGAAGACCATCGAGATTTTCCTCGTAAAGCAATAATTAATGCACATCGTTATCGACTTCATAGCACTGAAAAAACGTTGTTCGTTAACAAAAGGAAGTAAACAACAGATTTGCCACCGAAAAGTTTTCGACCGACGTGCTGCCGTTGTCGGTTTGGCGGTGGTTATCTCTATGGGAGAGTCAAGACAGGTTTACTAATAGCAACCATCATCAAAAATATTATACTCTCTCTATGATATTTTAAGACCATTTTATGAAATGAATTTCGGCCTATGTGAGGAAACATCAAAACATCTTTCTGTCCGCCCTTTGGAAAGGGTTTTTGCCTCACGTCATTTCAAAATAACTTCGTAAAATAAGCTTTATTTACTAGTGGTTATAGAACATGTTTCTCACTAAAGGTCCTAAAGGAAATTAGTTATTCAGGTCCTCCGGCTGAAACGTTACAGTGAGATCCACTCCGTTAGTTTATCTTTTCTTCTTCAGAAAATTGATCTCTGCACTTGACGTAAATAGAACAATCCAACTAGCGCTATGAACTTTGCTTAATAGCTAATCAGAAAAACCACAAGAGTATTCACAATCAAAGTTTAAACAACAATGTCAAACTCTAACGAGGATAGGCTCACAGGTAGAATAAAACACGACAAACAGGAATATAAGTCATATAGCGCAAAAAGGGAGGTACAAATTGTTAAGAGTCAGTTGTATAGGAGGAGACATCATATGCACTCAAACTACAAACCGAAGCAATATGAAAGTCAACAATGGCGTCCTTTGCTTTGTAGCTAAGCACTTTTAAGGAGGTCTTATCAATGACAGGAGACAACATAATTTTCTCTCAACAGCAGCGGACTATTTTTAATTTTTGTTCAAAATATTTATTTTTTAGCTGAACTCTGAAGGTTTTAGATGAAGATAGATCTGTATAAGTATCCAGTAAACTATAACCTGTTCTCTTGTTTGTTTTTTCTAGAAAATAATGTAGCGAATTGAAACCAACATGACTTAAGACTTCAAATAATTAGGCCTGTCTCTAAGACTCATGTTGTTAACTGAACACAAAGACATAATGAAAAGTGTTCTGACCCGCAAAGATATACGAGTATATTCAGTGTCAATTAAATGTTGCATGTCCTCAACTGGTCTAAGTTTAGAAAAAAAAAGGTATTTATTATAATTGATAATTGATGATCAAACATAGAGCCGGCAATCATTGTAGATCGAGTGTTCGCCAATTCGCTACTCTCAATGAAGTACTACATGGTCGATTCTGAAATAATGTTCTGTCTTTTGCTCATTCCAGTGTGCTCTCTTTCAGATATTTACTCCATTGATGTCTTCAGTTTCTGTGATGGGTGACGCTAAAGGTCAGTCGACTTCTTACCAAAATTAATATTTTTCCTATTTTATATCTTAAGTGGCCCGCTGTCATTTTTCCAGCTCTCTTGCACACATAAAAGGCCAAATTGATGGTCAGTTGATTCTTAATTTAATATTTAAATTAAAGTATCGGCAGAGAAAGCAAGATGCTGGCCTTATTTTCGCAGGTTTTGCAAATATCAGCAAGGTGTGTTGTAGATTGATCAGTGGTCTTTGATCTGCATCGAGGTTTTAATTGTAGTTTACATTACAGTAAATGTCTAATCTGGCTTTCTCAGCCCTTTCTCTCTCCCCTTTTTATTTTGATTGTGTTTTACTGTACTTTGAAATGGAACTCCTAAAAGCTATCCGAAAAGAAAAATGCGATCCTGAACGTGTGGATTGTTACAAATATCTTGGGGTTACACTGAATCAGCGTCTGTCTTCAGAAGATCACGTCTCAAACATTGCCTCCAAAATACGTAAACGAATATCAATTTTATCTAGAATTAAATACATGCTACCTATATCTGTAAGACTAACTTTCTATAACACCATGATCAAGCCCATTTTTGAATACAATAGTGTTGCGGGGGGAGACAAAAGAAATACAGTTCATATGGACACTCTTCAAATACTTCAGAACAGAGCTGCGAAGATAATCTTTGGCAGAGAATTAAGAGATTCTGCTACACAAGCTTTGAAAGATCTCAACTGGGTAACTTAAGTCAAAAAGAGAACTACCGACCGATGAATTTTTGTTTACAAATGCCTGAACAACCTCATTGGGTTTGATTTTGGTTTTAAATCATTTAAAAATAGACATGATTACTATACTAGAAACAAACAAAACCTTGCATTTGAATTATCTAAGACAAACTGGGGTTTTTTCAAAACTGTCCCACACTGTGGAAAGGAACACCTTCGACTTGGAAACCAGAAACGCTGATAACCTCAATGCCTTTAAGAAATCAATTGTTAAGATTTTTTCTTAACATTATTTTTTTATTTCGCATATACCTTTGTTATATTTTACAATCTTTTATATATAATATTAATTATCCTCATTATTTATTTATTTATATTTTTGACATTTAGCTAAGACCTCCCTGAAAATCATGTTTGTATGAGTGGAGCATCCTCATTAAAGATCATTACTTCTCCTCCCCTGCCCCGACCCTGATTTTCATTTCGCTGGAAATGTGTAAGAAATCTGAATGAATTCTTATTCCTTCCAAGAAACCAGAAGAAATCCCCAGACAGCGCGGAAGGTTACATTTCATCTAATTTTCTTTTCACCAGTGACCTATGACGAGCAAGATGGATCTCTCAGCAGTTGCTTGTCCAACGAGAGAATCTATGGCCCTGGATTGCCGGATGTAATTTCCTTTCCACAAGTACCCTCTCTCAAACCAGGAGAATCTTTCTGCAGCGCCTTGTTCAACGCTCCAAAGAGTGAGAGAATCCGCAATCTGGCAAAGGAATCCACGTTTATCCAGGGCATGGTTAAAGGATCACTTGACCCTAATGTCTATGGCGGCTACATGGTGCAGGATGCTGCTTATTGCTTCAATGCAGTGGATTCTTTCGAACGAGCTGCAAGAAGTTGGCAAACCTGAATTCTCTTTACTCTACAGGAGCCAATCAGAGAGTTTCAAACGCTACAACCAGGATTTTCTACAAACATGGCGGCTTCGAAATTCACTGAGACAGCGTGGCTATGGGGCCGGCTGCAGCAACGTACGTGGGATATGAACGAGCCTTGAGCCAAAACGATCCCAAGTACCTTTGCATTGCCATGTTACCATGTACCATGCTATGGCCCTGGATTGCCGACCAACTCATAGATTCAGTCGACAAGAACAACCCATATTACGTCTGGTTTAAAAACAACAAGCCAAGCCCGGGCCACAAAAGCCACCTGGAAAGGTTCGTAGATCACTTCTTTGTCCAAGTAGAGCCTGAGGAACAGCAGAAGTGCCTTTCCATTTTTCAAGGTTTGGTTAACGAGCTGAATTTCTTCCGCAATCAAACCCTGTTTTACTACTCGTCCTTCCAGGAGTAACTTGTAAAAATACGTCAATGTTGTTGTTTGTGATTGGAATCAGCGTGTCTGCGCTGCTTTAGATGATACCTCTGAAATAGAACTAACTCGGAAATTTGTCTAACAACAAAAAGTACTTCTTTTTTCATGGTATAGGAACATCTAGCTTGACATTAGGACGAGGACGGAGTAGGGGGTGGGTACCTTTAATCTTGCACTAGAACCAGTTGTCCCTTTTTCACAGGCAGTAATTCCTGATTATTTAGCCTCGACTTAATCATAACTTCAAGGCCTTGTAAACATACCAAGCCTTTTCGTTACTCGAGTTCTAGCTTTTAACCCTTTCACTCCCTTCAGATCTATTTAGTAATTCTCCTTACTGTCTGACATACAATTCTTAGTGATGAATTGGAGAATTTGTTGATGGATAAAGTAGTAATCCCTTAATTGATATTTTTTATCCTCATCACTTGTCTGCTTGATATTGCATTGATATTGTAAGAAGAAATTCTGTCTTGATCACTCATGGTAGTAAAACAAAGAGGTGAGGCTGGAGTAATTGACGAGATCAGTAAAGTGTGTTTTTTTCGCCATAAGGGATGAATAAAGTTATTTTGTAGGTAATAATAAATAAGAAACAGTTACAAAAATGTCATTACACTCATCTGAAACACTAAAATAATTTAATGATATTGTCTTTAAGAGGGGACACAAAACCGAATACTTTTGTTTCAAGTCCCAAGCATCTTTGTATAGCTCTGTACTCATGAATCGTTAAAAAATGCTCACACCGTACATCCACTGTTACTCATATGTACAAATGGCAAGCCATTTCACCTCCAAGTCTTCTGACCTTGCCAAAACTGGCATGGAAAAGTGACTCTTGATACGAAATAGACAAGGAATATCAGGAGAACTCGAGAAAAAGTAAGATGTCCAATTTTCTAGCCACCAACAATAAAATGAAATATCTTATGATCATTTCCTATTTAAAATAATTACCAAGATTTGTGATCCACTGAGTAGCAAGATTTTGCCTCCAAGATAAAAATATACTCAAATATACTCCCAAAATCTTGCACTTCAACGTAACTGGCCTTAAATTAGAAATCCGAATTATTTCATCGCGCTATTTCCACTCTTAGCATCACGCAAGTCATTTTTCTTTTTGATTGACAAGGTTCGGCGGCATGGTTAAAAAAAAACCTTCTTTTGTCAAGTTGAATTGAAAACGTCTTCTTTTAGACGTGTTCTTCATTTTTTTGAACTTCTTTGCTAGGAGTGGTCGGTGCCTCGATCAGTGTTTCATCAAAAGAAGCAGCTGCTTGGAGAAGCTTGGTTTCACAGGTATCGCTATTCAATAACTGTTCGCTTCTTTCTTTGGCCAGCCTCACGATTGAGTCGCACAAGCTTTCAATTGACGAATAATCACAGGTTGTGAAGTCAAACAAGTCCCTGATGAAATCAAGGATAAGGCTCTGCAGAGGATGAAAATAATACTTTAAAGGTAGAAAATAAAGCCGCCTGCATGTATACACAAAAATGAATCATCCTGAGCAGTTATTCGAGAAAATACAGTTTCTACTAAACTCTTGAATTATATCAAATTAATGACATATGCTTGACTGTCAAATGATTTAAATTAATTTACCTTGAAGTATTCACAGACTATTTTCAGTTTGTCATCTGATCCCAGGAATCCCCAGGCGAGAACTGGAGAAACATACTGCGCCACTACATAGAAATGAGCCATGAAACCGTAAGGGTCCTGTGTTCACAGAAACGTCCAAAATCAGTTGAGCAGCAACACCATTTATACAGAGAGGCCCCTGTTTTGTCCCTGCTTATATAAAGTTACAATTTCAAACAACGAAAACGACACCACTAGTTACAATAGCTGCAACTTTAGTTAGTGTAAAAGATTTTGACACTTTCACTCCTAAGATCTCATAAGTAGTTCTCCTTACTGTCTGCCACGAAACTTTTGTGGTGTTAGTTTAGAGAATTTGGCATTGGATCAATTAATAATCACCTAATTTATATTTTTCTTCATTCTCATAACTTGTCTGCTTGATATTGTAAGAAGCAATTCTGTCTCAGTTTAAGTAAGGATCGCCTATAAATACTGTGTATTTTGGTTTTAAACATCAGTAAAAATAATAAAAAGATCTATGGCTGGAAGTGGCAACAGACCTTAAGATAAGAAGTTTTAGCCTTTAAAACTCCCCAGATGGCTGTAGTAAGGGCCTGTCGACATCAAAATAACATCAACAATGTAGAATATACAATGCTGTAATAGAAATAATTGCAGCATGTTCAGATGACAACAGTAAAATGGTAAAAGGCAAATAAAATTTTAAAACTGTAGTTAAATAAAATGCCTTGGTGTTATTTGCAGACACTCTGCATGTCACAAGAAAGTTCATTTTAGAAGTACTTGCAAACAGCTGTGTGGCTCTTTGTCCACAGTTTCATTCCCTGGGCTGTTTTGTTCAGTGGGATGGCAACTACAGTATAGTGCACATGCTTTTTTTTTCTGAACAAAAATGTGTACAATACAAACCCCCGTTAAAAAAAATGCATGAATACAGACAAGCCTGAGTTTTTATTATCACTTACAGTCTCCTTGATTCGAGCTGACAACCATCGGTTTTGAACAGCAGTAGCTACTGTGTAGGGAGGGGTGGCTAAGTCATCAAATGCATCTAATAGTACAAAGTCCAGAAGTACATCATAGAACGAAATTTCAACCACCTTAAAAGAGACCACAGAACATAATTTTCAAACTGAATCATCATATGTTACATGGATTTGTTCACATTATTGGTGGTAGATTGTTCAATGGGTACAACAGAGCATGAATAAGAAAGGAAAAAGAGCTTGTCAGACATAACAAAATATCCAGTACCTGACAAATTCAGATAATCTACACCATAACAGTCACATTTTGGTAGCCAAGACAGGACCAAGTTGTGCCACTTTACATTGTAAGGTCACACACAGTGGTTCATTTCCTACTACACTACTAAGCTTACTTAAGGTGTGAGAATTTTTCCAGACCTCTACATGAGAGGCCTCACATAGAGTTTTGGAAAATCCTAGTTCCTGCAAATCAAAAACCAGAAGTATTCAGCACTATCTGTGCTCCCACAGGCAATATGACCCATAATGAACCAGTTTTTGCACCTTAATGTGACTTGTTGGAAATTCTGAGTAATTTCCCAAAATACTTTATTATTTTATCAGAAGACAAGACTGACTAAATAAAATTTGATGCTGACTCATATATGTCAACAGTATTTTGCAGCTTAAATTACAAATCACTCTAATCTTGGTCTGATTTGAACTTAATTCACTTAAATTAAGTTAAAGCATTTATTGTAAGTTCACTAAAAGATTTAAGCCACAGTGTTCATTGTTAGTCTTACTCCTCTCTCATTCAGCTCCTCTTTGATTTGCCCCCAGTTTTCTGCTGATGACGAGTACTCCACCAACTCATCAAATGCTGCTTGAAAGTCAGATGGATCCTATACAAAGTGAAGTCAGACAAACTGAACAGGGTTACATCATTCACATTTTCACCTGTGCACACATGTACTTCAGTGTACTCTGTTAAATCACAAGTTCACTGATACCCAATCAAGAAAAATCAGTAATAGAGAACAACGGTTCCCATTTCCAGCTGTTGGTAACTTGTTGGTCAACAGTTGGCTGACAGGTTACCAACACATTACCAACAGTCAGCTGACAGTGTTAAGTTGACCAAAATTTGATAGAAAACTGTAGTGCATTTAGGGGATTGGGAACTAGAAAAACTTTTCAATATGGCCGATGAATGAAATCAAGTTTTGCTAGACAATGCAAAAAAGTGGGCAAAAGCCATTATAGCTATTGAGAGTATAGTGCAAGGTATCTTTTTGAAATGACTTTTCCCCTTTTTATGTAGTTTTAGAAGTATTAAATTGGTAAATGTTTATGATCATTTTAGTTTATGACCCACTGACAGGTTACTGACAGGTTACTGAAAGGTTACCAACAGGTCACCGACTGTTGGCCGACAGTCAGCCGAGACTTTGGCTAGAAACATAACAAAAACTGTGTCAGCCGACTGTTGGCCATCTGTCAGCCGACAGTTGGCCAACAGTCGGCTGACAGTATCTTTCAAGAACTGTTCTTCACTTTTACTGAAAAATCTAGCAGGAACTTTATAGTACACTGGTAGTAAAAGCAGATTGTAAAACTGCACCAGGAAATTTCTGTCATAAACTACTGTCAGTAGTAAAGATTAGGAGATATCTGCAACAGAAATAGTAAGTAATCACAGAAAGATGTTCATACAATCAAATACCAAAGTCTGCACTCAGTATTTTACCTTGCCTGCACTTTCAATGACAGCTGACAAAGCTTGTCTACCAGCATCAATGAACCACTGTCGTGTTTCTGAAGACAAAAACACCATCTTGAAAAAAAAAAGAGACAAAGAGGATCTGAGAAAAACAATTTAAAAATTGATGAAAGGACTTCCAAAAAACCCATAGTGGACATGTCATATAGTTAATTAAATTTACTATCACTGAAAAAGATGAAAACAAATCAAACCTCAGAAGCCTGTCTCACACAGTGAACTTTGGCAAGAAACTCCATGTCACTTTCACATCCCACCTCATTTGTTCTAAAATAAATAAAAACAAACAAACAATGTTATAAATATGTTTTCAAAAAATTGGAAAGAATTAAATGAGATCTATCCAAGGACAAGAGCAAATATTGTTTGACTTTATATTTTGAAAACATGGGATCTTCTTCGTTTACCTCATCATGGGAAATAAATATTTATTTAATGATGACATGAAATAATGTATACAATGTATGAACTTAAAACAACTTAAATTAATACAAACTGAGGAAAAACTTGCTTTCCAATAAAACAAATTATAACATTAACACAAAACAAAGGAAAAGAATTTTGGCATGTCGTGACCATGCATAGGAACAAATTTAAGTTTAACTTAAATTTACTCTTATAGTGAATGAGTCATGTAAAAGGTACAGCTACTGTGATACACAAAACAAAAAAAATAAAAGGGGATTTTCCAATTTCATGTTACTTATTTTGTTAACCATTGCACCTGATCTTACGACAGCAGATACCATGACGAATGTAATGTTGCAGTCCAGACACATAAAACTCAAGGTGACTAAAAGAGTAAACAAACAATCAAAATATGTACAGCATATATTAAATCAATCTTCCAACTGTTGAACTTATGAAAGTTTGCATATAGTTTACATAAACTATAATATTATGGTGGTAAAACACATGAAACTGTCACCATTATTGAATTATTTAATTACAGAGCTGTAGATACATGTAGTTTACTTGCTTGTGATAGAAGCACTAAATTCTATTGGTGTACCTATGACTTCCAGCTGTATGAAGAACAGCTTCCCTAAACAGCTTCAGTTGCTGTGACTCATTGACAAGTCTCTCATCAGTGATATCGTCAAACTACAGAACAAAATTGGTACAATATATGTTTTAACTCAGAAGAAACATCACACTATTTATATATTTAATGCTGTCTGATTGTTCAGCCCAAAAGCAGCATTGAGAAGCTAACAAAGTCACATAATTCTGGCAGCCTGAGTACAAGTCATAATTTCATCATCATATGGTAAAGTAAAGAGATACTTTCCTTTCCACAAATTTTTTTTGTGAAAAGTCTGGAGGTCTACACATACAGTACCCATAAAATAAACCAGACAACTATCTGATAAAGTGCTGCCAAGAATTGGAATCTGTGACTAACACAAAAGGAAGACGGAAAGTTGGAGAGAAGGAGACAGAGAAAGAGCTAAAAAAAAGACAAACAAACAAACAAACAAACAGGGTTAAATGGAAAAAAATTGAAATAACTCCTGCTTGGTATTCCAAGGTGGCTTAAGGAATATCATCTTTTAACTAAACTTCAATTATCTTTTAATATTTAATTATTCTACATTTAAATTGAATACTTCCAACAACAAAAGTACCTCTAACTGTGCATTATCAGATGCAGACACAAAGGAATCAGCATCAGAAGAGTTCTGATCCTCCAGATCTTCACTGAATTCCAAGGGTATTTGCTCCTGTAAACTCCCATCATCAATCCATGTCAACATGTTGCTTGGTGTCCGTGTTAAAGGTGTCTCCATGAGATCATACTGTTCAATCACTTTCCGCAGCTTTCTGGAACCACTAATCAAGGCATTCAGCTTTTTGTCCGCTTCAATAAGGAAGAATGAGTTTTTTCCTCCCTGAGAGAGACCTGGACGCCGCCATTCCATCACATAATCTGTAGCTTCATACCAATGTTCCAATGCCATGTCAAAGTTTTCAACACCTGTTTTGTATCACAAAATTCAATTGATAGGTCACATATAGGAAAATAAACTTTAATACTTATATAAAACAAATAAGACACTTCTGTACAAAATGTAGTTAAAATCTTTATTATACATGTAGCTCTTTACATTCAAGAGACTCTCAAAATGGTTGTACAACTTTAATTGACATTTAGACTGATATGTTTATATACATTCATGGGGTAATGTCCTTTGAATGAGAAACAATTATTAACCTGCACAGGATCATAGCTCCTTCGTACACAAGGACTTTGGAAAATCAGGAGTTTTAAAGTATTCAGGATTATGAATAAAAAACATACCTCTCTTTATAAGCTCCTCAACAATTTCTTCTTCATCTGTGATAACATCTCCTAGGTCAATAGCACTATCTTCAGAAACCCTTCCATCTGGTAGAAATTGATGTAATTTGTACTGTCCAGTAATATTTTTATTTTAAGTAATATTAGGCTAAGCCTAAACTATACAGTTCATGAACTCTAGCAAGAAAAAAATAATCATCCAATTATTTACCATTAACTAGAACACCATCATCCAATGCAGCATTTGATGATTCAAGATTTGCTGCATGTCGTCGGAACACAACTTCATTATCTAAGCTTGTTGTACTTCTAGGGGTGTGTCTGGAAGATTCACCAGCTGTAGATATTCTTGAGCTCCCTGTCAAAGAAAGGAAAATTTGAATAAATGAATACAAAAATAAATCAAAAGACATACAGGTGTACATATATATACAGTATAAATCAATCATTATCTGGTTGTTGATAGCAACTGTCAATACTAATGAGGTTCACAGATTAAATAATTTTAGGCTACAAGTGTATGACTGATATTTCTGTAGAATGCTACACTGCAAAAGTACAGTAACCTATTTCATTGTTAGTAGTTTGTCCTTCTGTCAATTTTCTGTCACAAGTTGTTTCAAACTTGAAATCATACATTCTAATACATTGATGCAGTATGTGAAAAGAATTCAAATCCACTAATATAGTAAACATAGTGATACTGATCAAAAATAAATTTCAATGTCTTTGCACACTGCATGACAAATAGGATAATAAACTTCTGGTGTTATTTATTGAGTGATTATAATACAGGTATGTATGCACTTATATTTTAATGTTTATCAGCTTTTTTGAACACAATTTCTTCAGAAAACCCTATATACACTGCACATGCAGCCGCAGTTTAAAGTACTTTTGACCTGAAATGATATATGGTGTTACAATAATAGGAGATAACTAATACATTTGTGAAAGAGGAATCATCATTTTACATTCCATAGACTCTCACATAGGCACTAAACAGTTATCACTATCGTGGCCAAGCCGAATTTTTTTTGAATTTATGAAACCACCAGTATTGTTTCTGTCAATATTAACCACATATTTTGCGGTGACAAACTTCTCCCTGAGCAACGTTCATTAATATTTGCCTGAAATTTAACAGACAACGAATTTCATACTAACTCTAATGACTTGCCATTTCAAGTACCTCGTCGCGCACGTGAAAAATATCAAAAATGTCCTCCAACAAACAATGAAATACTTTCAATATCATATTTTACTGAGTATCAACATTGTGTCACAGCCATGGAAAGGTTTTGTCAAATTATGCTTCTCCGATTTATTTATTGATAATCTGGCTATTTCATGATCAAAATAATTCCCAGTAAACAGTAAGTTTGAAGTACTCTCAGAAATAATGGGATAAAAAATAATTATACCTCTACCTGAACAAAATTGTACAAATTAATTTTTCTGAAAACAATGTAAGGTGTACAATGTACAATCAATATTGAAAGATAAACTGGAAAACTAAATTATTGATGTGTGTGGGCTCGCTAGCTACTTTCGCGAATTTGATTTCTATCAGCTCAAGCCTAGTTTGTCGACATGAAGGAGGATTATTATTTAAATCAAACCACTTTGCCGTTCTACCTTTACCTGCTGTGAAAGTTCTCTTTCTTCTCAAAGGCCGATCGTTGTACGATGAGCTCTTTCCTGTTGATGGTTCACGGCGCTTCCGTTTCAAATATCGCGCTGTTAGAAACAGGAGAGTTCCTGCGCCAAGCGACAACGCAAACAAGGCAGTGATTTGCAACAATCGCGACGAACGAAACATGTTTCAAATCACGAGTCAGCTTACATGTCATCTCACTCACACAGTAAAAGTGAAAGAGCTTTTTCCACAGGAAAACAAGTTCCCATCCTAGACTATTGGTAACCTATAATGCTGCAAGGCGTGCAGATTCCAGCTGATGAAATATGAGCCCGTTATTATTACTTGTCTGCGGTGAGATTCCACACAAGAAAAAGACTGGAACGACTACTAGATGCAAAATGGCGGACAAAGCAGCGGAAGAATCCCAGGTAAATCTCGGAGCATTTTTTCAGGCCTTAAGTCTGTTTAAATTCATCTTCTCCACCGTTGAACCCATAAACCTTTAATCTTATATTGATTAGCTCTACCTTACTTTGAATAAAATGGTTTGATTGGTTTGTTTTAGTTTACGAAATATGGTATGCATGCACGTTTTTGTAAATTTATCCAGAAATTGAATTGATTAACGCACAAACTCACATTTTGATTTCACAAGTGTACTTTCATAATTTTTTTTTAATTTGCCTGAAAACAAGAGTTTAAGGCTTCGTCTGCAGTCTTTTCTGAGTGGCAAGGATGAAACAGGGAAAATCTTGTCCAACGCTGAGAAAACACAGTGTGCGATTGCACTGCTGCACTCTCTTCCTTGTGCAAGACATGCCGTTTTAGAGCAACTCTGCGATGTGTTTCATGAAGCTGTTCAAAAATATATGGTAGAGTTAGAAAGGCAAGCATTATCTGGTACGTTTTTTTTCTATGTGTGTTTGCATATTTGTCTACAGCTGTGCACTCCGTGAGATAATACAGCTGATTTTTCTGTTGTTGTTGAATTTCAAATTCTAACTTAGCCCGGTAACATTTTTGTTGTTGCACTTTGTCCATTGGCAGGTAATATGCTTAAAAAGCTCTCTTACTATGTGGAGATTGATTTTGAAAAGAGTTTGCAATTATCCTTCTTATAGTAGAGTGGTTTCATGATTTTACAGTTTTACAAACTACATAAGCACATCATTTTCATTTTCTGAATGTATGGAACCATCCCAATGTTATAGGGGGAGGCTTCAGTGCCTTTAAGAAATTATGGTTGTGTGTGTATGTGTGTGTGTGTGTGTAAATGTGTTATATGTCATGTGTTATATGTCACTGATGTATATTTGACTGTAGAACCTCATGTAGTGTCTGCCATCTTTAGACTGTAATAAGTTCTATCATCAGGGATGGGTGGTGAGAGAGGTCTAAGTATAAATTTCATTAAGTCTCAAAAAGAACATTTGATCAAACAAATGCATAAAGAGGACTATTTTGAGGTTAGTTTCTTAATGCATTTAAGGGACTACAGCTGCCTGTCATAGAGATACCCTGGACCCTGAGTTAATATCTGCTTTACAGAATGTCAGTGAAGTTGTATGCAGATTTGTTGATAATAACCCTACTGCCTGGGCACCACTTATTTGTCAGGTAATACTGACAGTGTTCAGATAGTTTGATTTTAAGGTTATGAATGCAGTGGCTCATCTTTTTATTGCATCTTTGCTGTCATCTTCCTCCTGAGCTAGGCAAATTACATTATTCTATTATGAGCTTCTACTGATCTGAAGAGGTAGACTCTCTCTACCTGTAGTTTTTATGTTTTCCTTTCTTCCTTTTTTTTCTTTTTAATTTTTAAAAATTTTGTTTGATTTATTTTTTCTTTGGTTTCTTTTCTCTTTTTGTTACTGATTATTTAATTGTAACAAAAGCAAACTCTTCAAGAACCTTACTTCAGTGTCTTTGAGTGCAGTGTAGTGATACAAACTGTATGAATATGTATAGCATATGACCTTGTAATTTATTATAACTGCAGTTTTTAATTTTGAAATAAACCAGAACCTTCTCAGGACCACTTTCCAGTTAATTACAACTGAAAATAAATAGAAATTATTTTGCATTATGCACCTATTAAAACTCATAATCTATTTTTTTTTTATTTCTATGCAGTGGTCTTTGAACCTTCTTGGGCAAGTTGTCACAAAGAATAATGGAAGGAGAGGTCAGTTTGACCAGCATTTTGATGATTAAGCTGAATATTTACACCCTTACACCCCTTGCCTGTCTAATTGGATGATAAAAGATTTATGCAAATGTCTATACTTGTGACAAAAACAAATTTCTTTCATCTTTTTTTAATATCATGAATAATTATATTTTCATTACAGCCACTGGCATAACTTTGTCTCTAAGTGAGGGTCTGCATAAGTGGATGTTATTTCCTGCTGTTCAAAGATTGATGGATATTACAGTCCATTGCAGTGCTAAATTGTAAGCTACCTGTATGTTTGTATGCATGCAGTGTAACATATTTCTTGTCTGTGTAAGAATGGCTTGAGAGTAATTTTGCTTCATAAGGTGTTTTATTCAGCTCTAAGAATAATTCATAGTTATTTAAAAATGCAAAGTAATGCACCTACATGTAATGTTTTCATTACAGAAGGCAGACATGATCATAGTCAATTGTTGTTATTTAAATCTTGTTAAAAAAAAAAACAACCAAACAAATGATTATTGAGTTCCTTTTAGTTCAATTTTAACTTTTTATCAATAGCAACTATTGTTTTTAAATTTTTTATTTGCCAGAGTTAGCCGTGGTGAGGCTGACGTATGTGTGCAGTGTCTGCTTCAAATAGCAATGAACAGCTCTCCTCATTTGGACTGGGTTGTAGCTCATATTGGGTATGTGTATGAGATTTTCCTCTGTTTATGGAGAGATTCCTAGCACATATATCATGGCACCATGCACAGAAATACTTTACTAGTTCTTTGTAGGCCAAATGTGTAAGAATCAGAGTTTCCCGAAATTATTATGCTTGTCAAAGTCACTGCAAGTCATTTATTAAGTTTTAATCATTCTTTTAACAACCCTTGGCATGTATTCATGTCTAAACACATGTGAATGCCCATTGAATTTAATGTAAATTTATAGTAACGTAATAAATGTGATTTTAATGTAAATTTACTATAACAACATAATAAATTAACTTAAATTTGTAATAATGTAATAAATGTGATTTTAATGTAAACTATAATAATGTAATAAATTAATGTGATTTACAGTAACTTTTGTGAACATCATCAGTACATCAGTCTATTGATGATCTATTGTTTATGAGGTAAATATTAAAATACACATTTTTTGCTGCAGGTCTCATTTCCATCAGGTCTTTATTCCTAAGTTGCTGTCTGCTGCACTTAAAGAATACACAGCAAGTCATTCCCCAGGGGGAGGGGGTGGTGATACCTTTGTCATGACCCCCACTGTAGTGCATGTTCTGACATACCTTTCTCTTCAACATTCCCAAGAAGTCAAGAATAACCTGCTAGCCATGTTTCATGTAAGTGAAGCTGTTCTTTCTCTCTCTTAGTTACAAACCAAAGAAAAAAAATCAGCTGCTTTGAAGAATTCAGAACCAAAGAAAAATTTGAACCCCAGCATGAATATGTTTATCAAGACTGGTTTCAAGTATTTTTGTGTTTATGATTTTCAGGAAAGTATCGCAACCTCTCCAAAGTCCAATGTTGAAAGAGAAGAACAGTTATCCACTCTTCCTTTTCTTCTACACATTGCTACATCATCACCTGACTTACTGAGAGGAACTATCACTGAATTTATTACTGCCTGTAAGTATTGTTTTGTTTCTTTTTGGGTTTGATTATCATGGGGTGAATTCATTTTAAATTTATTTTCATAGGAACCCTAAGACCCTGCCCTCACCTTTCCTTTCATTGAAAAACATTTGAAAAAATCCATGTATAAGTGCTTGTAAGTCATGGTCCAAGTACATGTAGGGCAAGAAAAAGGTTAATGGCCATTGTTGCAGCTCTGTGATATGCTAGCTGAAATAAGAAAGGAAGGAAGAGAATTGATGTGTGTCTGTAGTTAAATACTTATTGACTGAGTCAGATCATGCCAGATGGTATAATGTTTGGGTTTTGGTCGTGACACATTACAGACCTTGTTGCACCTTGTCCATACTTGACGACCTCAAACTAAATATTTTCTATCAGGTCCTCCTGCTAAGTCAATAAGTATGTGTTCATAGTACAAATTATGTACTATTTCATTCTTTTAATTTCTTAGTTAGTATGGAGCAGCTTGCAAAAAGACCAAGCTTTGTGGTGGGAATTTTAGTTTTGATGTTTGAACCATCGAATGTGATTTGCAAAATTATATTGAGATGATATATAATGGGAATCATACAGCTGTTCTTAATATTAGGTTTATAATTAGGTAAATACCAAAGTAATACAGTTATGTTGTATAATTATGTTATGTTCAAATTTTTTCTTGTTACAAGTTTTCAAATCAGTTTCTTTCTAGTTGTAATATAAAACCTTAAAGTTTGTTTCAAACAATGATTCATTTTAATTACAAGGCAAATTAGAAACATGAAAATTAAACTGTTTCAAAACATTTACAGTCCAGTAATGATGGCAATGCCTGTTGATTTAGTTGACTGAACATGTATTGCTGTTAAATTTATTTTTTCCTATTTTTTAGTGACTCCTGAAGTCCTTCTTCAGTTGCTGGAGCAGTCTAAGAAGAGAGGGGACTGGAAAATTAGGTAAAAAAAATTCAAATCAGATGAATAAAGCTGCAATAGTTTGACCAGATTACACTGTAGCTAGTGACACATAATTTTTATCACACACAAACAAAATAATATTTCCAGCACTTTGATTTGTTTCTCACCATACTAATTATTGAAAATTTGTTTGTTTGTTTGTTTGTTTGTTTTCTTAGTCCCTCCTTCATGTGGAAAACTTTATATTTTGCACTAGATTGCACATTCCAAATATGCATGCAGTGTCATTCAGCTTTATCATCATTTAGTAGCACATTACCATTTACATATAGAATTAAGGAATTGTTTGACTTTAACTTTTAGTTCAATACTATCCATTGCCCAATAAGGAAATTATTTTTATTTATTGAAAACTTCTTGAAGATTTTACTTCCCCCCAATGTTCTTCAGCTTGGTGTCATCAGTTGTCAATGTCATAAAGAACATGGAGGAAGGAGCACTTGAAGTGTTTCAGCTTCTTCTTGAAAACTGTCAGAAGCCTACAGATAGAGGTATCAGTTAAAATACAAAATTCGGTGTTACTTTTTCCATATGCTGCCTGCTTTAGGAAAGATTTCCTTTAGATTTTGCTTATTCATTAGTACTACTGACAGTACTAACAGTGTTCATCAGTACTACAGCACTAACAGTATGTCAGAATACACTATTAATACACACCATGTTTGTGGAATAGTTTGCTCGCTGAATTGGATGCTATCCCATCATTGACAATTTTTAAATGCGAATCTTAAGATCTACCTTTTTGGTCTGGCTTTTCTTGAATCATTTTAGACCAGAATTTTATTTTACATGTATCTAGTAAGTGTTTATAACCATTATTTAACCTGATTTGTTTTATTTTATTGTAAGTCTCATTTACATTTTACATGGTAGGCTTAGGTTGTTATAGAATAGTTTTATCGGTGAATCATTGTAGAGCACTACTGATCATTTCTAACAAAAATGATCAGTAGTGCCTTACAATGATTCACATAGTATAGTAACTGTATGTAAATCACACAACAAAATACTCAAATTTTTATTATTATAATTATTATTATTATTATTAAATGTTTGGGTGAAGACTGTATGAAATCTCTACATGTATTTGATATGACAAAAGTGTTTTGAAGCTTTTGATTGAGAGAAAGTGCTCTGAAAGTAACAGAATGGAAAAAACGGAGACTGCATTTGTAGCAAAACATTCAATCAAATGAATTCTTGAAATCATTTCCAAGAGAGCATCAAGTTCTAACAATGTTCACTCTATGTAATTTTTATAGTATGTTGAATAATTTCTGGATGCATGTTAGTTAATATACATTACACAAGTCTCTTGCATGCATTTGAAAATTGCTTATTTCCCATTGAATAATCTTGCACTGTATAAAACAAAAGAGCATCTTACTGTCAATAATTTATGGTCTTGTATTTCATAACTAACTGCAGAGTCAAAGGAGGTTGATTTGGCTCAAGCTGAATTGCAGAAAACATTCAGTTTAACGATGGTGAGTTATGTAACTTAATTAATAAGAAAGATGGGGAATAAGTTGATTGATATATATGTCATGATGTGCTCTTAGATTTCATATTAACCATTGTAATGAATGATACAGTATTGACTTGAATTATGTCTCTTTTCCTTTGTACTTGAAAAAAGAAATTTAAGTCAAATGATGTAAATTTGCAGGGATTACTGCTGACTAGACTTAAAGACATTGCTATAGAGAGGCACAGCCTGTTTTACAAGAACACAACCATAGCTTCACTTGACACTAGAAAAACAGAGAGTGAATTTCTTACAGAAATGGCTCATCACACAAAAGATCTGTGCCAGGCACTTATCACGTCAACTGGGAACAAGTTAGTACTCCAGAAAACATCTTTTCTGCTTTATGACAAAAAAGTTCCATCGTGTATGTAAAAATTTAAGTTGGGGACATGATTAGTTTATTTTTTTGTGTGTGCATGTTTGTAAGCAAGCCTCCTCAGCCAATAGATCTTTTTTAATTAAATTTTTAATTTCTTGGAGTCAAAATTAAGTTTTATTTCATAACCATTATGTACACTATAAGACAGTGCTGCTTAATTTTTTTGACTTTTAATTCCCAAAAGTGGTTAAGATGCAACTTCTCCCTATAATATCTATACATATATCCACCAAACAGGTAATGAGAATAACAAGATAATTTGATATTATCAACTGAGGTGATAACATAAATTGGCCACCATTAAGAGTTTCAAAGCTGACGTTTTGGGCATTGGCTCTTTGTTAAACATCAGCCTTGAAACTCTCAACAGTGGCCAATTTACAACATCAACTCAGGTGATGATACCAAATTACCTTCATTTGTTATACTCTCCCACCAATGTAGCACCACATGCAGTTATTTTAATGAGAATACTCAAACTTATCAGGTAGAAGTTATCTTGATCAAACACCAAATTCTCATAACTAATTACAAATGTACATGTACATCTCAATGGAGAAGTGGTCAAGTCATTTAAAAAACTTTTAATTTTTATGTTTACAGGGTTTCTAACACTTTTCAAATGTTAGTCACCATTGCCATTTACAGTGGAAGAACTTTAGCAGCAGGGATTCTCAACCATGTTCTGCTGAATAGTAGATCCAGTCAATCAGTAAGATGTCATCAATTTGTAACTTAAATGAAGTAGATAAGTATTAGCCTCTATTTGCGCAAAAATATGCACATATAATTGTCTGCTGACATTATCTGGTCTGAGATGTAAACAGTTCTCTGTGCCTCCCTCCCTCCCCCCTTTAAAGGGTTAAGAGCTAATTTATAAATAGCTGAATTTTCTAAGATTTTACAAGTTTCTGTAAGTGTACTTGAAGTATCTGAAGTGTCAAAGGAAAGACAGGCATTGCTGCAGAGGAAGGAGGGCGGGGGGAGAGGGGTTGCATGCAATATGCAGTAGCATCAGATCCATGTACATACATAGATTTAGCAAATTCTGCAAGGTGTTCTGTTTTACATGTGTACATAAGGACAGGTTACAGAGGCTGTATCAGTCAGTCTTGTATGCAGATTCAATTGAATAAAAAGTGAACTGGTGCTTAAAACTGGTAAAATTTGTGACTTTGCTTGTAAAAAGAATTCTTTAAAATGTTAGCATAATATTATAAATATACCTGAAATGAAAAAAATAATATTAATGAGATGATATTAGATGACAGTCAGGTTTTAGTTCCTTAGCTGTCAATTATCATTCATGACAGCCATTTATTTTAGGCTCTCATTAAAAATGATGGAGACCAATCAGTGGCCCACAGAAAGCATGTGCTGGGAAAAGGCAATTTTCATCAGTAGCTGATTACACTGAAATTTTGTCTTTTTGTCTAGATATTGACAGTTTACAGGTAGAGGTTTTATCTGACAGTGATGGTTTGTTTTTAGCTTCAGCTATTTGTTCAACTGCATTGTGATCTTGAGCTGTACTACACACAGCTGTTGGATGATGTTGTGAAAACATGTCTGTCAACTGGCAAGTATCCTGGCACTGCATCACACTCCAAGAAGGTACTGAGCCATCACATTTATCATTGTGAGGAAGTTAATTTTTCAGTTCTTTCAACCAAATCAACTTTTTGAAGTTGAGTCCAGCATTTTTAAGGTAGAATGAAAATGAAACTGTTGGATCCTGATATTTGCACTTTTGGACTAAAATTGGTCAGAGCTCATGATTATTAATTTTAAAAAGTGCATTTTCCAAGTAGTTACATCTGTCTTATCAGTTTTCACACAAACTGGAACTTAACTGCAAGCAAAATGAATCCTGGATGAGCTGAATGCGTTTTTAAAGACGTTAGACGGAAAAAACAGTGATATAGACAAATAAAGACGAGATATATACTAGACTTGATAAAGACAAACGTAGACAAATGTAATCTTATTTTGATCATGTCGTTTCTTTTAAGTTGCTGGGTTTGTTGAGTAATCTTCATGAATTAATTTCCATTGGAAGCAAAAATGCAAATCTCCTGAGGTACGTGATATTGCAAATAAAAAAAACATTGTTGCCAAGCTTAATAAAAGAAGACTTGTTATTCATTTGAAAGAGGTAAAATCATCTTATGAATGAAGAGGCCTAACTTGCTGTAGTGAATCATCACAGGGCTTTAAACTAGATCAAGAAATATAATTGATACATAAAATTTAATAAATGTATGACAAAGTCAGAAAAGAGAGACAAGAGCCATGCACCACCAACCTGCACCAACCCCTCCCTCACCCTCACCCTCCCCCCTCTACTTCCTGCTTTCAGGATTTCTGTGACTGTTCACTGATACCCGTTTGCGCCCCTGCGGGGTCAGGCTGTTCAAATTGTGGTAGCACTATCTACTGGATAAATACATACTATGCTATACAGGGAATAGCGTTGCATGTATTGTCAACACATCCGCTGGATAGTATTTTATCCACTGGATAGCGTTATCTGCCCCCAGAACAACTTTGCCTTGGTGTTGGGAAGAGGTATTTGAACTTAAACCCAGGCCATTCAATACAGACTCCAGTGCATTAAACACAGGACAACAGTGTTTCCCAGGAACTTTTTCAAGGAACACCTGTTTTCATGTATGTTAGCATGAATTTTAGTATAAAATTAAGTTTTATTTTTAATCATGAATAACAAATATCTTAATCTCCAACCAATACAGGTCAAAGATGTGTACATCACTTCAAAGACATCACAGCCTCCTGACTAATTTACTGATTCATCCAAACTTGGACGTCTCTTTGAAGTCTCTGGAGCTTCTTCTGTCGTTGGACAAAATTATGCCAGACAAAGTTTCTAACATGATGAAAATATGTAGTAACTGTGTGGGGCTGTTTTACAAGTTGTTAAACAAACTGAGAAAACAAGATGGAAGCATAAGTGGTGAGAGCTTGTTATTATTTGGATGATCAACACTCTGCATGGGTTTTGTGTCGGACTGCTTTGTGTGAAGATTATGATGAAGAAAGAATTTCAGCAAACAAATAATACCCCTAAGAATTTAGCTCCTTAGCTTACAACTGCATTTAGATATTTCTGTGTTTTTCCGTTTCCTTCATGCCATCGTATCAAACAGAGGGAACTTAAAGACTTGTGGCTGATATTCACCTCAATTTTCTAGTCAATTTTAAAGTGCTGAAAGCTACTGAAATTGTGCAAGTAGATTTTAATTTAGGAGGCAAACATGGGCTAAAACCTCTTTTTAACGTTATTTTGCACTCCATCTAAAGGGACTTATGCAGGAAGATTTCCAGTTTCTTCGCAATTAATTATCGCCTCTCAATTCATCGCCTTTCCATTCTTAAGAGGAACAGGATGAATATTTTACCTGTATATCTAGTCCATGAAAAGAATTGGCACACAGAACCCACCACACAAGAACACGTTTGTTTGTTTGTTTGTTTTTTCATTGCCGATTATTTCATTAAAACCAAGTGCTAACCTAAAGAAAAAAGTTCAAAACCATGTTGGTCTAGTAGCAAAAATTCAGTAACCTTTAATAAGAGCACTTTTGAAGTCACCAGAAAAATCCAAGGGACTCTTTTGTGGCGAGCCTTTTCATCAAACACTACTTGTCTGAAAGGTTTTTAATTTGTTTCTTTGCAGAAACAGTGAAGTCCATCAAACTTTGCAGACAGATGGTTCTTCTTCTCTCCAAAGATGACAGATGCAGACTTTACTTGATGAGACTTCTGGTGGAGGGAACACTTAAAAAGGTAGGCTAGCAGAAGGAAAAGATTTCGGAAAAGTTAACCACACCAGTTCTATAAATTTTAGCTAGACCTGGGACAATACATTTGAGCATTTGAATTTTTCGTATCTCGGTAGCTTTTCATTTTGATGTCATTTTGCTTTTTATAGGAGCACGTTTCCTTATTTGGTGGAATTTTACCAGGTTAGTTAGAATATCAAACAAGCTTGAGAACTCTCAATTCATGCTGCTCAGAGTTTGCACTTTTAGGGATGTGGTTGATGTCTGGGCTGAATTTTTTTGGTGGATTTGATTCAGTCTGTGCTCTAATGTTTAGAGCCACCAAATTAACTTAGATGTGGACGGTTAGAGACTATAGAGTGTGCTATTCTGAGCATCTTTCCATCTGTTTGTGAATTACAATGATATTTTGTAAAATTTATTCGACTGGAGTCGAAACCATGGCTGAATTGCAGGGACTTGTCAGCCATGAGAATGGTTTCTGAGACCTGATTAGGAAAATCCCTGAATACCTCAGACATTCATCCTCCATAAGCGTGGTATCAGTTAAAATAAATTTGAATTTTTCTCAGCGAGTTGATGATTTCATACATGCACGCTCCTGTGCCGATTTATTGATTGATTGATTTTGCGTAACAGCTGAACCAAGTGACTCAGAGAAGGACTTAACAAACATTAACGTGTCATTATTGGAGAGAAACAGAAACCCTCATATCTCTTCGCACCTTCCTTTAACTCCTTCGTCGGTTTTCTTCAGTGGAATTGTGGGTAACATAGAGAAAAACAACAGAATAAAGGCACCTGAGGTGAAGTACTGATTTAACCCTGGTTTAGGTTATTTTCTTATTACCTTTAATTCCACGAACAAGTTATCTCGAAATGAGGGAATTTTTTTAATATCATTCTGAGTTGGAAAACATACAGACTGTAGTTGTGATGATGTTAAGTCAAAGAACAAATAACGATAATGTAGTATTAAAAGGCTGATAGCATTAAAATAAACCAAATATGGACATGAGCTGTCTTGCTTGATCAAATATTTTTCTTCTATCGTTTTGCTTTTGCGCCTAATTTTTCTTGTCTCCAGCTATTACTCTTGTCTCTCTTTTCCTATTTTGTCATATGTTTCATCATTGATTTGGTTTATTAACTGAGGAGAGGAACTGAGCGCGAATTGGTTCTGTAGCTGACAAGTACTGGGAGATTCAATTTAAAAAAAATTGCATTTATTACATTTCTTTAGCCACAAGTATGGCAGCAGACGAGTCAAGTGTTTGTGGATGTTGTGTTCATGCTGTGCACGTGTGATCAGGGAGATGCAGACGGTTCTAACCTTGCTCTTCACCATAAATATGTGGACTCTTTATCGTTGCTGCTGATGGAGCTTGTGTGTCCAGATGTTGTACCCATTAGCTTTGATTGGCCAGATGATGAAAGTCTAAAGTTTACAATTGAACGGTAGGTTAACATAGGCATGTACTCGAGGAGGTGTTTCCCTGGGATATCAGATATCTTATAGATTTCAAGATCTCTTTCCCCCCTAGTGTTAAAATTGGGATCGTACACCCTGCGGTACTTCAATTAGCTGTAGGAAACAATTCCCAGGGAATTTTTTAAAAAGAGCCTAAGGGATACGTTGACGGAAGTTCCTTGGGATTTCTGAACTCTATAAACATCCTTCCAATATGTGTATATTCAGCTCATCTTTTCAAAATATTTACCTTGTAAGAGGAACAATTGGTGAAGCAGATCTGAAAATTCAGAAGTTACTGGAGCCGTTTTCAATCTTCAGAAGTGGCAATCTAGTAATATCATCCGGGGAATGTAACGCTTATGTCGATGCGACAAAAATTTTCCGTAACATCATAAAATAAGCAATGTCAATATGATGGTATGGAAAATGTACGGTGTTCGCCAACACCAAGAAAACTATCCAAACATACTTGATCTGATGATTTGTTACAGCGACTTACGGATAAAGAAAACATTCGACGATAATCCAATCCTGTGGGCTCTTGTAAGCATTGTGGCAAGAGGTATGTGGTTCCTTTTTTCTTGAATATTTTTGTTGATTGATACTTGTATACTTCTTGTGGTATTGTTTAGATCTTAGAAACATCACTGAGGTGTGAAGGTCATGAATTGTGAGACCTAAAACGAAAATGCTATAGATCAGAACGACCCTTTTTTTTTGAGGGGGGCATAAAATGTGTTCTGTATTTAGCACCAATGGATTGTATGATGGATCTACCCTTCAATTTTTTGGATTGTTCCGTTGATAATGTATCTACCCAAATTGATTTCCAATCATCATTGGATTTCATGACTGTTACCGTAAAACAGTACATCGCCCAACTAATACGTAGCTATTCACTTTAAGCTCTTTGTGATGATAAGTCTGACTGATTTATACATGCTCCCTCATTCCATTTAAAACTGCTGTTGTCTTGAGCGTACTGAACAGCTCATAACACTCACCTAAAGTAAACGGTATCATGTCAAGGAAAGTGCTGAGATTTCTCATAATTTATTTCATTACTCCTCATCAGGTGTCTCATCACTGTCCAAATGCAGCCCTCTAGTGTCCAGTCTGCTAGCAACTGTTATGTCCAACTGGGAAGTATATAGAGGCTCGACAGTTGACCAATCATCACTAAATTTTAAAGTCACGTGTTTCATAACAGACATTATGACAAAGGTGAGTAATGCAAAGAAGCGAAGTGCAAGCTGTATTCACATAGCAGAGCCTATGAAATACGTGACAATTAGTTGACGAAGAACTTTCGAGTGTTCTTCCTTATTTTAAGCATGACAGGTAAAATAAATTTCCAAACCGGTAAAGCAATCCATTTACCTGTTAAATTTTCAAGAATTGCAAGCAATTTTAAACGGTAATAAGAGGTACTACAAGCGGTAAATGTTACCGGTTACTGCCTGAAAAGGAGAACACTGACTTCCTCGTCGAGAACAAGAAGTGTCCTTCTGCTCATTTCTGGGTTTTTATTCCATCGGTAGAGGAAACATTTGTGGATCTGTCCTCGTCATTCAGTTTCTTTGGTAATTTTGGGTTTGAAAAGAAAACTGAATCCTCTATACCACATTCGAAAGAGTTTTAAGTAATCACTCAATTTTTTGCTCCTCTGAGAGTCATTACGAAGGAATGAATATATCTCATGAATAGAGATGTAAGCCTGTGTCTCTTTCGGCTGAGGAAGAAAAACTTTGCTGGTCAGTAACACTGTGATTTCTTTTTGTAGGCAAGTTGGTTGCCTCCTCCGCTTAGTCGGGTTGGTGCTGTATTTGGTCTCCTGAAGCCAAAGGAAATTTACACCATACTCAACACCATGTGGAAAGTCCTTAAGGTGAGTACATGGCATTGTTTACTTGTCTTTCTGGTGTGGTATAATATTTCCTAATATTTCAATTTACAAGGTTGTCACAGCCCTCGAATTAACAACACGTTTCACAGATAACTTTCGATGTTACATGAAAATCATGTCAACCACATGCATATCCAAATATGAAAAATGAACAGCAAAACTTTCATTCGACAGTATAAGTCGAAAGACTGAGTTCTGTTCCATACATTGACGTTTCTCTTTAAGGAATTTCCTCCTCCAAGTTCTGCCATGACACCAGAAGCTACTCGGCAAAGGTGGCAGCAAGGTAACAAAACTTCTTATTTGGGGTGCATAATTCCTATTCTCTCGCATTCCGGATATATCTCCTTTTACTGTTACCTTCTTGCATCATGATATCTAAACGTTATCTTTGTTATTTTACGCACCTGCTGTGTTGTTTTGTGAGGCAGCAAGCTTTGTAATAAATGAGAATTATTTTAGTATCTTCATATTTTTGTCCTGTGACTAAAAAAGGGGAAGAGGGGAAAAATGAACGGAAGGTCTGTAATTTTGCCTTTGTAACACTGTTGTACAGGGAAATATCACGCTGCGAGTCAGTGCGAGTGACATCATCATCATTTTGTGAAGTCAAGATATCTAGTTTGCTATACATCTCATTACTAAGAAGAGTACTCTGAAACATTACGTGGCAAGCTAAGTAATGGCTCTGTCAGCAAAATCGCGCTGAGCTTTAAAAAAAAGATCGTCGCTCTAAGCCACTGAGTTATGACTTCTTTTTTTCAGGAACAGCCTTCAAAACTCAAAAGGAAGTGGTGAAGGCGATCTTTGTGAATAACATTGAAAAACTTGGTCATCATTATGCTCGTGTGTTTGACGAATCTTGGTAAATTTGTTTCTAAGACTTGTACCGTGCTAATGTAAATAAATTGTTAACTTTCAGTTACCTTTAATTTGTCATATTTTGTCTGTTTTGGTTCATTTTGTCTTTTTTTGTCTTTTTTAACTTCTGCGGGATGCCAACGTTATCTAAAGGGGTCTTGTGTCGGATGGTGGTGGAGGTAATCCAACCACCAGACTACGATCCCACGATGTCGTGCCCAGTCATCCCCCTTTGTTCTAAATGCTTGCGCACAAAGCTTTAGCTTCGAGTGTATAATCAGCAATGTGAAAAAAAAAACAACAACAACAACAACAACAAAAGAACGTTTTGTCGGTTTTTTTGTTTCGTTTTTTCCATTTGTCTGCTATTACGATTGGGACTTAAGTGACGGACGGACGGTCTTGAGAAGTGAATTGAATTGATAGATTGTTATATTCTTTTGTTGGTGGCCGGAAAATCCGTACTCTATGGCGATAACGGTCAATCTATTTCCCACGCTTTTAAATTTTCTGAAAAAGAAAACGCTATCCGACTCACAAGTTAAACTTTTGTTTCCGCATTTTAATTGTTTGATCTTTAAATATATTGCTTACACTGCTATTGACTATTGGGTTACTTCATTACGACAAAAATCACAGATTTCGCAAAGAATCATCTGGGCCCTCGTAAGAGATTAATGGTGTTTCCAGCCTCCGAAAGCCAAAACCTTAACGTCCCACTACGCGCTTTTGTCTTCACTCAGGTACTTGCCATGTTGGTCACGGCATTTGTACTGTTCATTGTCGAAACTATCGCACCGTCGTATCTCCCAGTTGTTGTTTCTCCAAGAAACTAAAATGCTATGTTGGTGTCCGGCTCCTGTCGTCGTCAGCTTTCTGAACGACTTTCTTCCGGTCTTTGCATCTTTCACTTCTTGAGCTTCCAAAGTTATTTCATGTTGGTGAGGACCTGGGGGAGTCTTTGTGGCGTCTGCCATTCGAAGTGTTAGTGGTCTATCTGTAGGTGCCGTTGGCAAAACACCAGAGCCTGCAAATGGTTCCCTATAGAGATAGCCGTAGGATTGTGATTTCATGAGCAGATCTTTCGTTGCTTCAAGTTCCTTCCACACGGCGCTGCCTTCTCCATGGATAGGCATGATGGGATAACGCTGACGCAAGACTCCAACACCTTTTATATCTGGAAAGAAGATCCGCGTTCCACTTGCTCGACAGATCCGCACGGTTTTGCCATCTCTTTCCAAAACACCAACGCTGTTTCTGGCTGTGTCTGCAGAATCGGTGCTGATCTCCTGCCCTGTGAAAAATGCAGAGGGTGTCTGGTAGTATTTCTTACTGTTGGTACCATTATAAGCCTTCTCGGGAGTTATTCCGCCAGAGCGACCGCCTTGAAATACTGTTTTTCCATACGCCTCTCTCTCTGAGCCTTTGTACTCAAGATTGAATGGATTCCATCTGTTTAGGGGCGTCATGTAGATTATTTCAAGTGGAATAGCGTACGTGTACTTCTGGGAGACCGTTGTGCAGCGTGGTTTCCTCTTTGGTCCTTTGCAAGTTTTCAGTTTCATTCCAGCTACTTTTGGTTGACTGGTCATAGCCACGTACAGGTTTGCATCTGAATAACCACGATGACGTATAGACTGTCCCATGGCGTCTCTTTCCAGCACTTTGAACAGTCGATGGTAGTAAGCAGCGTTCAGTTTTCCTGGTTTCTTGGGGTTCATACTCTGGGCAGCCAGGTTAAATGCTTCATCAGTCAGATTGCCGACATAGTTGTCCTTTCCAGGAATCTCTCCCATGAGTTTATCAAGCAAAGTGAATCTGGGATTATTATTGAATCCGTCGGACCACTTGTTGGAGTCTTTGGGATTGAGTTGGAATCTTGCTGCTCTGGTATTTATCTGTTGCTCATATTTCCGTTCGGCGGGAAGTCTTGAATGCAGCTCATCAACCATACGAAACCTGTTGAGTGGGACGTCTCGACTTAAGGGATGACACAGAATCCGATAATTCCATTGCGCAAAGACGGGGATGGTGCCATTGATTATATCTATAATTGTAGTTGGTAGAAAGGAAAAGTTCTCCAGATTGTCTTTTCTTCCGGTGTAAGAGGTAAAGCGAACTTTCTCTTGTAAGTCAAACCAGGATGTTGCGTCAATGAAATGTCGGTCGCTCTCGAAAGGTTCGTCAATATCTTCGGTTGCAGTGCCCCAGGCTCCCTCCAGGTAACAGAGTACTGGCTTGAAGTACTTTCTGTAATCTCTAACTGAATAATCTTGATCTTTCCACGCCTTGAACCATTCGCGCATCTCAACGACTTGTTCGTCTATCGTAGCTTTATTTTTGACTTCTGGTGGGACTTCTGGAAACGGAATTTCTTCAGTAGCATGGTAGTCTGTACTTTTTTTACTTGCCTTGAAGAGACGGTAATCGTTGTGCCTGGTCCTGAATTCCACTCCGTTAAGAACACCAATAAATTCTCCTAAACCAACTGTGCGAATATTATTGGCGTGTTCGTGAATTGCTAGAAGCCTGTTAGAAAATCCGTGCGTTTCCGAGTAGTAATTTCGCGTGCCATCGTGCCCAAGACGTACTTGCTTTACACCAGAGTCGCCATCAGATCTGATTCTTTCTTCGGTAAAAAACTGCTGCAACATCACCTGGCGGGACAGGGCACCCAAAATATTCCGGAATGTTTTTAACTCTTTGGCAAGCTTCACGTCAGCATCCCCAATTGCATCTGCTACGTCGTTAAGGACGTCAGCGTAGCATGTACGACTTGCGCATGCCAAAACAACGAGTATTACTCGGAAGGGTGATTTCATTTCTATCGAGAGAGTGAAAATGTTGTCATTAATAAATGATTAGCAACCACTATAAAAAAATCTACGATTTTATAAACCGTCATACTGAGTGAGCAAAGCAAGGATTTCTTAGGAATATCATGTAACAAAGCTTCTTGGGTTTGGAACTTTGTTGAATGATTGTTTTACTTTCCAAGTTGTTGGAGCATAAAATTGTTGTATTGCCAGGATTTGAGCAACAATGTCCCATTTCGAGGACTTGTTAATCTGAGGGAACTGAGTGAAGTGACCGTCCTTTTTACGTGAGAAATGACCAAATAATAACAAAGAGTCTAAGCGAGTGACCGCTAAACAAGATGCTGCCAGATTTTATCTTTTATTTGTTTGAGTGTGTTTTCAAAAAGATTTCGAGGATGTTCGAGATTCCCCTGCCTTGCACTGCCAGGTAAAACTCATTTTGCATATTTCTGAGTCAAACATCTGCGTGAGTCGTGGGTTAAAGAGTGCTCAAGGAGTTTCTCTTAGTGAGACCCTTATTGATCTAAATCATGTTAACACATATCCACCAATATGTGATTATACGAGCAAAAGTCGTGTTAAACTAAATCGGAAAATGGAAAGATTTAACCTAAGCATGAATCCGCTATAATTCAAAACCAATATCACTTATCATATATACGTAATTCTTAATAGCATCCTAATAAACGTGATCATTCTTCGAAATTGACGACATGATATCCACATTAAAAGGTACCAAAAGTGTTTTCGCGATGACACTTTCCATTCAATAAATATATCGAGAGTTGTATATGCACTCGATTAAGGTTACTTATCGGTCCGGCTAATTTTTGCTTTCCTGAATATTTTTTTCCAAAGACCTACCCTATTTTGCGAAAAGGATTCAAACAAACGAATGTTGAAAACAATGGACTGAAATTGAAAAATATATCAGCGTAGAGAAATAACATGCACTACCTGATACTAGTACCTTTTGTTTAAAGCCTAAACCTTTTCCCTTGCAAAGCTTCTCTGACTAAGTACCCTCTCGTTTCGAAGTCCGCGGGAAAATGATTCTGACTCCAAAGAGTGTGTCCTCTTTAAGGGTTTTAGGCATGTCAAACTGCATGAGTCTACCTTAATGTTCATTTTAATTCAATATTCGTCGGTGTGTACTTGTTTTGCAATTCTTTACAGAAAGGTTGTTTGAACATATGGTTGTTTCCGTCAATTCATTAAATGGGAGCCTTTGAGATTGTACGATATTTAGAGCTGACATTGACCTAGCAAATTTCAGATGAACAGTTCTCACCATAACTAACCATATTGTTTGTGGAAGGAAGGTTTCACTGGGCACCTGAAAGAATACTCAACACATTACTTCTTTGTTTTCTTTTCAGCAGTTTGTTCAAGTTAAACTTTAAATATTTGAGTTTACAACGCTGACTATTGTTCCTGTTTAAATAGCTTTCTTTTCCCCAACTAAGTGCTGTTTGAAATATCATGTTTTTCGGTTTCTGTTTTCTCTAAAAGCATGTTTACTTATCTGTGTTGCCCAAAGCGACTGAAATGTTGTAAACTAGCTGATTACTTTCTTTTTCCTGTTAGCTGCAAAGTTTTTCTATCGTGAATTAAGGACAAGAAAAGACAACCACGTATGAAACGAGCCCGAGTATGATTTGTAGCATGTAACTGGCATGCTGTTAATCTTTTCTCATCTTGTTACGGTTTGAAATTGTTCAAGGTCACGTAGAGATATTGGCTGCATCGTATTATGTTCATCAAATAAAATGACTTCTTGACTTTAAAAACAGTTTGCAGCTTACGCTTTTGCTTGGTTAAAGCCTTTAGATCTCTTATGGTATTGTTAGATGGAGTTCATGACTAAAAAAAAAATCAAGAATAAATTGAAATAGAAGTCAATTATTGAATGACAGACTTTTAAATGTTCCCTACAAAGGAAATATATCTTTTCTCTTGCTGTAGTTCACCAGATGTCAATTTTCCCTCCAAGTTTCAATACGTAGAGATTTCTTTTTCATCCTTATCCTTTTTTTCTGAGGATCAGGATGATAGTGTATAATCTGCAGGAAAAATGAGCACAAACATTTGTCTGTGTCCGGCGATGATATATAACTCTACTGGTGTGCGAGCCTTCTCACTACATTAGCTTTAAACCGTTCCATTCTGCACATTTTCGGCTCTAGTTGTCTTCATACATTAATAATTTAACGCTGCGTCATCAAAGTGGGGTATTTTTCCTATTACTCTATTAATTAATCTACTTGTTCCACAACTGCACCCTTATCAAAGACTGTCCAGCTTGAAAGTTCTACAAACAGCTCTTAGAAAAACCAAGCAAGTTTCATGTAGCTTAACTGAGCTCACCCTTACGGAGGAGAAAAGTTTGGACTTGAATAATACAGATCGTAAAGACCATTAATTAATATTTACACTAAACAGGATTTGTATGTCTACCTCCTATATTGGGGCTTTTGGCAATTAAAGGTTCTTCAATGGAGAAAAATTGTCCAACTTTCCAAAAGAGTCCTACGAAGAATTTTTTTGCAGACCACAAAGTGTAGGAGGTGGGATGTAAATATTGTTGTCAGCCGAACTTTTGATGACATTGGAAAAACACCTGAAGTTCCATTGATATTATAAAAACAAATAAAACGTTTCTTTTCATTTTAGTTTTGTCCCGCTTGGAAAGACGAGATTTTAGATGCTCGTCAAGATTAATACAGTTTCATCTTGACTTATTTGTGTCAAACCAAAAACTTTTCCTTTTTTCAAGTTTTGGTTTCTCTAAAACGAGAAGCACGAATTTTCATTTATAAATCGACTTTTAACATAAATACTAAATAGTTGTACCTTACTAGCACCCGTAATATTAAATTTCAAATAGTATGTATGTTCCCAAAGTAAAAAACACTTTTTTCCCACAGGAAAACTAAATTGTGAGATTTTCGAAGGCTACGGTTTTTTCCTACATGTTCTTTTTTCACATTTAGCACAGACAGCAAAGTCCCCCTAATCTGTGAATCTAATAATGATCTTTAGACGATTTCGTTGTCATAGGACACCAACAGTTGAATACCTGAGAAAACTACCACTAATCGATGAGCCAGCTGCATTGTTGACAATTTTTTAAAAGACAATATATCTTCTTGAACGTCAGCTGAGTAACCACATACATTTTCATATGGAAAATTTCACTGGTGGGCTGCAAACTAGAGGTTGCATTACTGAAATGCAACAGAGAGGAAAAGAAGAAAATTCTAGCGGACAGTTCATGTTCTAATTACTCCTCCGGTTATCCGTAAAAACATTTTTAAGCAGTTGTTGTCGCTCGCAAATTACACTGGATTTCTCCTTTCAAAATTAAAGATTTGCATTTCGCAAATTACAGATTTCCATTTTGTGCACATAATACTGCCTTCGTCGTACTGCACGTTTTATAAAAACGTATAGAGGTTCAAATCCCTTGAGTTATTTATTTACAGCGGGAGAAAAAGGTCTACTGATAACAAAGAAAGTAGCACACTGTAAAATTTTGCCTTTTGTACTAAAAAATTCTCGTCCGGCTTTGAATCCGAACAAGACAACCAAAAAGACACCAGGGACAGGAGAACCACGATTTCAATTGATAACCGCAGTAAGGCCGTAATTCTTATCTCAAGTTACACATTAAAAGTCACACTAGATCGTAGTTTCTTAAGTACTATTCAATTTCACATATCAAGATTTATTTTTTTTACTGTAAAATTCTCACGGTAACGTTGCAGTAGCCATCAATACAGGTCATAACAGTTCTAGTCAGTTGTTCGCGTGACTGATTGCTAGTCCTCAAAACATCAAGTTAAATTTGCCAGCTATGATTAGATAATATCATAAACTCCCGGATAATATTCTGCGATAAGTGCCGTCCCACTAATTGAAAATTTGCCATCCAGTTTAATCGTCTTGTTGTGAGGGTTAGTCAAGGGATACTTGAACTCTTCGCGAGCTAAATTAATAATAGTTTAACATCATCGACGCCAGTTTGCAAAGGTATGATAATAAGATGTTCGCAAACTCAAATAACAAATTCCATCGAGGTCAATAACTCCACTCAAAATACAGCTATCGTCTGTTGTTGATGTCATCAGTTTTATAGACGATTAAAATGAAATAAGAGTTAAGCTGATAACTTACTTCAGATTATCACTCGGTATAAAGTGGAGGCAAAGAAGCGATGGTAGATGATACGTCGTGTTGATCCAGAGAGGTTAACTTCATTCATTTGAACTTCTCGGTAAGTTTGCTCAATTTTATACATTTCCTCAAAGCGGTACACCGTCTGTGTTTCCACGCTTTAAGCTATTTCCTGAGAAAGGCAAACGGCTTGTACGTGACGCGAGTTGCGGCCAAAATTAATACGTGACGCGTGAAGTTTACTGAAAAACGAGAGTGATTCGTGAATTTATGCACCGGTGTGAGGTTGATTTGCCTCCTGAAATATATACATGACTAGTTTTCGTTCATTTCGTGAAAACCTCAAGATTTCTCTGAAATGCTGTTTACAGTATACGTGACACTTGAAATGTCCTAAAATTCGTGCGTGAAACGAGATCAGGATCCCCTCCCTTTGCTAACCTCTTCCTAATCGTGAGTCGCAAACGCCACGCTAAATTTAACCCTGTAAATCAACCTAGACAAGAATAGGAATTATTTACCAAGGTTTATCGGCTTTATGTTTGCTTCTAAGGACTGAACTTCGAAAACCTAACAGGTTAGGTGGAATCTATTCCCAGAATAGGCCCAATAAAGCTCTAGTTTTCTTTTTTACAGTGAGTATATCCTCCGCTCAGACACTAACAAGGAAATTCCAGAGGCGCGCTTGCGGTGAGCGAAGTCAGTCTCGAATTTTCGTACTATATATGAATCGTAGGGTGATACGTGCTCAGCCTACAACTGACTCATGCGTGAATTTTCTTAAAAGTATCCTCATCTTGTTACCTACGTGTCCCATTGCATGTATGACGTACTTAACTCTGTAGTTTTAAGGGCACACTGATCCATAAATTTCCGTTTCAGTTAAGGCGTATTTTGGATGTATGGCTAAAACTAGTATTATTTTTAGGGTTTTCCACTCTTTGTGAATGAAGTCTGTATTTGTTATTTTCTTTCTACAACAGGATGTAGCCTGCCGGGCAGTTAACAGGCCTTACATTGAAAAAGTCGTTACATACAGTCGTCATCATCATTGTTCCTTCCTCTCCTTGTGAAGAATAGGGCCACTCCTTCTCACTCGATCTCACGGCCACGCTATCCTCTGCACATATGGCTGCCTCAATTCAGGTTTCTCAGTACTTGTTCCCTAAGCTCTTTTTCGACTGTTTTTCGCCACGTCTTGCCTGCCGGTCATCTTGGCCTTCCTTTGCCTGCTTTTGCCGGATTAAGAACAATGCGTGGGCTTGAATAGAGTTCCATTCGTTTGCTGTAAGGGTTGTTGACATTTCAGTGTCCTCTGGCACAACGCTATTGAGAAACAGCTTATTTTCTTCGTTTGTAACAATATCAGGATGCTCTCCCACCTTTCATCACTTTTTAAACGAAATTCTTGGGTTTTATAGCTGGTCAATTTCATGGGACATTTCAAACAAACGCTCCGGCTTCATCACAAATTACAAATATTCTAATAAATAACATGTTACGAGATAATTACGTTCTCGTGTGGTATGGAACGAGGATTAATGAACAAACTTTTAAATAAAGAAGAACTATAGATCTTAACTCAAAATATTTTAACCTGACACGGCAGCTCTGAATTTTTTGTCGAGAAATGTCAAAAGAAACGGGTTGAGTGCGGAGTTTAGGTAACCAACCATTAACCGCACCACGAAAACTTTAAATGGGATGTAGACGCTTCTGCAAAGGAAAGAGAGAAGACTGGCACAGGAGCACGGTAACCAGCAGCAGAATAAAGCCCCCGCTAAGTAAAATATCGTCTTACCACCTTGTTCATTCTTCAAATACATCTTTTTTTCTTCGGTGGAGCGCATTTTTCGGCTGTTATCTATGTCGACATTTTTGTGGTAACTGGAAACGATAAGGTAAATGCCACTCGTAACCGTGATTAGTAAAATGAAGTTCAGAAAAGAGATGGGAAGAAAAAAGAGCGGAAGCAAGGAGACATAACAGAGCTCGATATGAACGAGCTCTTCATCTGTTTGTCATAACGGGAAGTGAGGCCAAGATTGAACTGTAAAGCCATATTATGAGGCTTACTGTCAAACCTTTCTTCCCAGTCGTGAATCAGCAAAGGCGAAAAGGATTCCCAGGATCACTGAGAATCTTGTATAGATCCACGCTGACGGCCAAAAGAGTCAAAATCGAGGTAGGGACAGTCGTGAGGTACAATGTGACCCGCGTCCTGCACATCATCTCTCTATTGTTCCAGATGCTCTTTGAAAATGAAAAGAGATGCTCTTTATTTCAAATGGCTCAACTATAGTGTCACTGTGAGAAGATCTGATGATGCTAACGAGAAAAAGATGTTTGTTGGATTCTTGCGCAGGTTTCTGTTAGCGACTATGGTATACAAAACTAAAAGGTTCCCCACGACTGCCGCTGCTACTATTATAATGTGACACGTCGCGACTGAATATTCAAACCCTGTCCCGAAGTGAAAGCTGGGAGATCCTTTTCGCTCGATTTGTTTTCTGCTGACGTGTTAATTGTTCACTGTTAAGGTCACGAAAAGACTTTGGAGAAAACACGGCGAAACTTGCTATATTCTTTGAACCTTACAATGCGTCTCACTTTCGCCAAACAAAATAAGAAGTTCCTGATAAAGCGTGTCACTTCGTACGTTATATCACAACCAAACATGAAACCAGTCACGGTTCTTGAGAAGATATGTTTCAAAGAGGTCTTTTACACTCACCCAAACATGGCTGTTGGGGCAAGTTCTTTCTCTATTTTGCCCTGCACTATACTTATTCCTTAACTAATCCTGAAATACATGAGAATACAGCATTATGTCAAGGAAGGCCTTGCTGATAGAAAGCTAGGAGAATTTTACCAAGTTTTTCTTTTAAATTTTATTCATTGTAGAAACAATTTGTGGACTTCAAAGGAATTCATTCGGAAACAAGTTTGCCGATCGTATGGGTCAATTGAAATAAAACATTATGTATATCTGCAGTACCGGTATTTCTTTTCTGCCGTTCTTCGGAAGATAAAGTTAAAAAAAACATATGGTGCAGGTGGAGTCAAAAAAAACTTTTCACCGGCTGGAGTTTTGCCTGATGATGATGCGAACCATTTCACCTTCGTCATGTTATTTATTTAACCTGACCTCTATTTGCTAAGCTTTTAAAAAAAATGAAGAAGCAGGCTTTTTAGACCAAGATCATATAATTTATACCGCACTTTGCAAAGAACTCAAAGAACCCGGTGTGAACACCCTTAAAACTGCGCTTTGTGGACTAAAACGAGGAAAAATATTTTCTTCACGGATGCAATATGTATAGGTAAACGTAAAATCAGGAAGGCAAAAATAAACTAAGAAACTAAAAGAGGCGTTCATAGGGAAGAATTGTTTCTGTATTTTCTTACCTTATCATTCTTCCTTGTAAATTTTTTTATTGTGGTGTGGCGAATAAGTTTAAATGAAAATTACAAAAAAACATTAAAAAGGTAATGAATTCGGTAACACCGAAAAACTAAACACTTGGAAAACACACAAATATGACCTACTGGGACGTTTTCGCATTTGAGTTATTGCGTTAACAAATTTGATTCTGGTAAACGAAATATTCTCTGTAAGACAATTAACATCCAGTCTCCACCTGCAATTAGACTAAAAGCAAGCTGTAAAGTTCCCTGTAATTTACCTTCGCCGCACGATACGTTTGTATCAATTTGTTACGGTGACACCGAAATATCAGTTATCTTTAGTCTGTTTGTCTGTTTTATGTTAGCCAATTTGCAACGCCATCGTACATAGATTCATAGCACATAAACCTAACATGGCGCCTTTTTAGAATGTCACTTGGTTGCCAGGCGCTATTAGATTCCTTAAGATATCAAATATGTCTTATTTTAGTTGTTTTCTTTTTATCAAGATCAAATGATCTAGGTTTGTTTGGTCGTTTGGGTTTTTTCCGATTTCTATTGGAGAAGAACAGAACTTTCAAGCAAATGAAAAAATCACAGGTAGCGACCACTGTCGTATTCGTGGCTTTTCTGATTCGAGAGCAAACTTCAACTTCCTATGGTGACGCTCGCTGTAAACAAAACAAAACGGCCAGTCGCTGGTTCCTCTTTCCATATGGTGAATAAGAATGAGGTAGCAGAACTCATACGCGTGCAAACAGGTGGAAAATACTGAATTGGGAATCGCATAGAGGTCTGGCGACAAATATTTCAAGGGGCTGCTGCGTTTCAAGCGAGAAAGACTGGTAAATTTTCTTTTTAGAGACTTCAACTGCTTCAGTCTCAACTGGCTTATCGCCATGAAAATACAGACCTAAGGAAAGCATTCAAACGACTTCTATTTAGAGTTCCACATTAATATCATTGTAAAAGGCAGAAAGCTGCAGTCAGTCATTCGTTGTAAAAAATTCCTGTTTGCAGAAGCTTTCAAAACTCGATAGAAGTATATCACTCAGCTATCTGCCTAAGCAGCATTAGATATGCAGATGCCGTTGATAAGCAAATTCTTTAAGGCACATAATTGTTCCCCTTTTTTATTTCAGCCTTTTCCCATGAGGCAATAATTACTATTTAATAAGTATAGTTTACTAAATTTTCCCAGTTTCTTGTTTGAAATAAAACTGAATATTTCTAACGATTCCCTTAAAGAAGAAGAAAAATAGTGCTGTGTCAAATGCCCCTCTAAGCGTTTAAATCTTCACTTAAGTACATTCCATGTTGGTCGAAACATTTGTACTTTTTCTCGTCGTACTCATCGCATTTGCGAATCACCCAGATGTCGTTTTTCCAAGCAACTCTAATGGTGTGTTGATGCCCAGCTCCCTGCGTCGTTAACTTTGTAATGTGCTTCCCCTTTGTCTTGGCGTCTTTCACCTCTTGTGGTGTTAAAGTGACTTCGTGAGTATGTGCACCTGGGGGAGTTCTTGTGGCGTCTTCCATCTGAAGTGTGAGCGATCTCTCTGGTAGTGCTACTGACCCGACACCAGAGCCCCCTAATGGTTCCCTGAAGAGGTAACCATAAGTTTTTGACTGCAGGAGAAGATCTTTCATAGCTCCAAGCTCTTTCCACACTGCGCTTCCCTCTCCATGAACAGGCATTATGGGGTAGCGCTGACGCAA